CTCTTGCGTAATATAATATTTTCTAACAGAGTGGATGTAGATTTACCCCATCTGCTGAAGTCCTGCAAAGAAATTATTTCATCACAATCTGAGGAGGTGTGGAAAAATCAGCAATCTCTAGAGCAGATTTGTTCTCCAGACTTAAAACATGCCAGGCCAGCAGGCTTGGTTCTCCAAGTAGCTAAATCTGTAACCTCGAGGCTGATGGGGGCTCTGTGGAACTGTGCAGCCTCCGTAGTTCGGACCCAATTTGCTTTTTTTGGCATTAAATATGTAGAAGATGCTGGCCCCCCTCTCAGACTCATGATTATTGTAGAACTTCAGAAGTTAGCATTTCGTTTGAGAGGTCTAATTTGTTAGGCCCTCTTCCTTCTTTTGAGAGCACAACGAAACACTAATAGAAATACTGATCGCTAGGAGAATCGTGTGGCCTGTTTAAGAAGAATGTAAAGAGGATGCTGAGTCCTGGGTGACCAGTTTATTAGAAAATTACTGTAGAAAGGGTTAGAGAATGTCTTAAACTTCTTACAATATCTTGAGGAAATAGGGTAAAAGATGCTCTTTGAGTGCAAAATAATCCCATAAAGGAATGATTTTTTTTAAACCTCCCATTTATATAATGACATCTTGTATCCAGCTGCCCATCTGGCAACTTAAAGGTTTCCTTTTCGTTTCTTTGATATAGAAATTACCTGCCATTAGGTCTGCCACTGGGCCTGTTTAATTGGTATTAAAAGAGAGTGGCTCCTTTGCCAGATCTGGTCTGGTTCCTGGCGGAAGCTGTGAGTGACCAGCCAATCTTTGCCCTGGAGCTGCAGAGAGAAGCCAATTACCTTACTATGTTCTCCAGAGGCTGTAGGGACTCCATTTATGAAAAGGATAACTAGCTTGTTGCTACTTCATGTGTGAAATTTTAATGAATTACTGGCAGCCTAATGGTTTTCTTTCTTTCTTTTTTTTTTTTTTTGAAAAAACAAAACCCCCAAAAGCCTGTTTTAGCATTTTTTAACTAATAGCACTAACAAGAATTTTTGATTAGTCTGTCATTCTTGTTTATTGCGATTGATGGATTTCTACTTCTTGTGGAAATGTTATTTATGCCCTCTGGGGGGTTTTCATTTTATAATTAAAGTGCTCTGCAACCTTATAGGTATGCTCCAACTGAATGCTCCTGTGTACACACAAATCGTTTTAGTCCTTAAAGGTAATTACATCTGACAATAGGAAATTAGGAAATGCCAGAATGCTTATGTAAAAAAGGGAAATGTTTCTTGGGGGGGGTGGGAGGCGGAGTTTTCATTCTAAAATAGCAGATGCTTTACAATATTATAAGCTCTTTCCTTATAAATCCTCAAGGGATAAACTAAGAGAAATTTGCTTTTCATGCAAAGGAGAATAAAAATAGAGGCTAATCTTCATTTGTGATCCTTTTCTTGTTCTCCTACCTCCAGATTTTAGGGCATTATTTCTCCAGGGTTTGTTTGCAGCTGTCTTCTGTATTACAATCAGTTATTCCATAATCATCTCATGGGGGCTTCTCCGGAGACCCTATCCACTGCATTGCAGGGAATATTCTCCATTAATGCTGTGAGATTGCCATGGAGACAGATTGCCTAGTGTCAGGTCCTTCATAGTGCTGGGAATTTACAATCCCCAGACACGTCTGTGAGCTGGACAGTGTAGTTACCAGGGACGCTTCTGGAAGTCATTTGCTCGGTCCTTTGAAGGGCAGCGGTGTTTGGGAAAACCTGTTCTTGGTTCCTCTCTGGGCAGGAGCTGTGCTCTCCCCCAGACACCCTCTGCTTTTGTTCCTGTGTGTTGCTGCTTTGTTCTTCTTGGCCTGAACGGCTGCTGCAAAAAATAATACTGACTGCCTGACCTTTAGAATAAAAACTGGGATGGGCTCGCTGTTTAGATGTAGTTTTGTGGGGGACATGTTGATGCTTCGATTCAGAGAATTGTTCAAGGGAAACCAGAAAACCTGCTATAGGTTTCAAATATTGTTTTCACAATAATAAAAATAACCCAAGCTAGTGGGAAGCAGCGGCATAGCGCAGGGAGATCAGCTCGGTGCTTTGTGACCACCTAGAGGGGTGGGATAGGGAGGGTGGGAGGGAGATGCAAGAGGGAGGGGATATGGGGATATATGTGTACGTATAGCTGATTCACTTTGTTATGCAGCAGACGCTAACACAACATTGTAAAGCAATTATACTCCAATAAAGATGTTAAAAATAAATAAACCCTAAAGGCACTACTCGTATGGCTGTATTGTATTTTTTGGGGGAACTGAGCTCTAACTACCAAAGGTATTGTGAAGACCCCAGAAACACTAATCTCAGGATAAGTAAAAGTGATATTTTATCTGCAAAACCTAAAAAGTTGACAATTCGTCAGGAAGAGGAGGGGATAAGAGATGGACTTTTGTGTTTTTTACATATACTAGTTTAATTAATCTTTAGAACAGTGCTGTGTTAAAGGCATTGTTATTTCTTCGCCTTTACAAAAAGCGAGAGGTTAATCAGGAAATGGCTTGATAGGTGGCTTACTGTCCCACTGACCATGTTTATGCAGTGTCTGTCGGTCACTTTCAGGTGCCTCAGAGCAGTGTTGGCTAGCTTGTTGAACCTCTCTAAACTGGGACAACTCTGGAACTTTGTAATGCTATAACTTCTCAGTGGAAGACGAAGGCAGCTTTAGGGGTAGTCAAGCCTGTGACTTTTGGTTAGAGCAGGTCACCCACTGCTAGGTTGTGGGATTCATTTGTCTGCCCACCCAGACAAACGGAAATACACACTGGGCAACTCCTTAGCTCACCCCAACCTCACTGCCTCTGTGGCCATTTGGAACCAAAGAATGCAGGGAGTATGTCCTTTTCAGATGTTTTTGTATCTTACCTCTGGACTTGGGCTGAATTGGCCTGTGGACAATATGACTGTATTCTGGCTGGTTTCTGGTCTAGTGTAGTTAAGAATTTCATCTTCGATATGCTTTAGCTGGAAGGTCAATTCATACTGCACTGGATTGCCCTGTTCACAAATTTCGGAAGCTAGGATTGAAAAATTAGAGAGAGAGAGAGTCATGATCCGAGTGGGGGAAGGACATTTACCAAAGTGTTAGTGGTGAAATTCTCTAGAGAAGGAACAGCGTTGGGAGGTAGAGGAGAAGGAGGACGAAAGTTTTAGTATATACTCTATGGTTAAAAAAAGATATTTACATATATATTTTTATAATTTTATATATATATAATGTTTTGAAGCACACACACACAAATCCTTGGGAACTAGAACACAGTACTGCTTTTATAGCCCATGGACATAGCAGGGTCTAGATCATATAGATCCTTTCATTGGATGAAATCCGGTCTGCACACTAAGGTTGTTGATGATGCTTCAAACCAGGAATTGGAACTGAATGAAATAACGATTTGGTTCCGATTCAACTCAAAGGCTACTCAGATATTCTGGTTTTGTTTCAGGTCAATAATTTTAGAAAAAAGCTTAGGTGTACAGCACAGTGTAGTTGAGCTTCAGAAGAAAAAAAGGTTGGCTCAGTTGTGTATTCAGCACAGTAATCATTTATTCCAGGCTTTGCTTCAAGTTGCTGCTTCCAATGGAACTGTGATACCGAGGTGAGATCACTGAGTGTTCATTGTATTTGACGTGGAGGCCTGTGGTACCGTTTGTGATTATCAAGTGAGATAATGGAGTCTTAAGCAGCAAAGCTAACCCATCCCAGTGCTTTGTTTATATTGAGATAAATGTACACAATCAGTGTTCAGGTGGGTTTCTTGAGACTTGATATATACTGTTCATGAAGCCATGGATTAGTTCAGTTCTTCTCTCCTTTGTTTTGGGGTGTCTTTTTTTTTTTTTTTTTTTTTTCCTGTGAGAAATTCCCTCTGGCTCAGGACAGTTTTCCTGGGGAATTTCCACAGAACGCATTTTATGGGCTGAGAACTGGGTGAGGTTTGGAATGTTGCAGACACTCACTGATTGTAGCAAACTGAGTGTGAAACTGATGGTAAACATTGTGATGGAAAAGTATGTTTGGTTTTGGTTTGCTTTCCAAGAAGATATTTAAAAGACACAGTTGAGCCACATGGTTTTCATAGACTCCTTTTTATGCAGTCTGTCTTTGCAAGGTGGTTTTCTTGTTGGGGATAGCCGTTGACCAGCTTGAGAACTTCACCTTTTCCCTCAATTTGCGTGGTCACATTTGGTACTACTTCCTTCGAAGGCCCCATAAATGCTCCTCTGCAGACCGAGAAGCGGTATGCAGAGTGTCTGCATGATATTCTAGATGGGCTGCTTTTTCTTTCCTGGGATTACCTGATATCACAAGAAATTATTCTATTTGAACTCTCCAGTTGAGACAATTAATTCTGACTTCCTGGGGGAGAGAGTGGTAGTGGGACGTGTGTTGGTGCGATGTCAGTCAGAGTTCCCGGGTCCGGGGCTACCCTGACTTCCTGTTTCAGAGTGAGAGATTCTCAGAGTCTGAGGATTGGGGCCCTACGGTGTTCTATTAACAATGGCGAATTTGTTCCTTGATTTGGCTCTTTCTATTAATGAAACAGTAACCTAATTAATTGTAATTAGGATGCCTCAGAGGTCTGTTTCCCTTTGAATCAATCGCTAGAGAGAATATGAGTCTAGTAAAGCCCTAGCATATTCCTCAACAAAGAAAATTGTATGCAGAATTTCTGGGTATTGCTGCAAAGTTGGAGAGCTTGTGTGGTTGATGGAACCAGTTTACTTCAGTGATGCATCATGGGGGAGGGAGTGTTACATAGTCTCCTTCTTCCTTAGACCCATTTTGGTCAATTCACTGCGACCTTTCTTGTCAAATAGAAAGAACACAAGCTATAACTCTATGCAACAGCTCCTTATTCTGTCCTCTGTGTCTTTTTCACGGGAGTGACTATTTTTGGACCTCTTCCTGGAGGGCTGCACGCTGAATTTCTTCGATCCCTAACTCCTCTCGGCTGTGCTTTGCAGGAGAAGCTGTGCCTGAGGATGAACAGATCAGTGCTAAGGACCAGAAGTCCCTGGAGCCCTGTGATAACACCCCCGTCATAGACAACATTGTTCCTGTGGTTGCTGGCATCTCTGCAGAGGAGAAGGAGAAGTATGATGAGGAGATCTCCAGTCTCTACCGACAACTGGATGATAAGGTCTGTAGTCAGAGATTATAGACCTCACACTGGTACAAAAACTAAAAGCAGCAGGTCCTAGATTTATTGGCTGGAAGCAGCTCAAGCCCCCCAGAACTGATGTAGGGCTGCAGACTGATGTTTGTGCCTGTCTTCCTAGTATTTACCCTAGCTCTTCATTGGGCAGACTCAGGGAATTGGATTCATGTGGAATGGAAACTTGATCGGAAGAGTGGAGTGTTGACCTGGGTAGACAGAGTCTTCACCTCTAGAAATTGGATGGGGCCTTATCACTGCATGAGAGTGGAGGCTGCGTGATCTTTCTTGAATTGTCCCTTGTTTTCTTCTCTGGGCCTGTCCATCACCTCTTGGAAATTCCAGCAGTGTCCCAGCTATAGGGGCAAAGGTGGTAGCTCCCAAAACTCAGGTGTGTACTTTAATTACGTAGCTCTAAGGCCCTGGAATGAGGAGCCAGTAGTAGCAGCACCAGGAAGGCTGTTTTCAGGGGCATCCTCTTGAACGAAGTAGTTTGGACATGCTGGGATGTCTAATTTCATGGCAAACTTTTGGGACTCAAAGAACCATGTCAGTGCACAAACTGGAATAAAGGAAAAGAGATCTTGGAGAACACTGTATCATTCATTCCCAAGGAAGGTCGGGTTAGGAATCCCAGAGGCAAAGGAAATTAAATTGATGTTTCACGTGATCTTGGCGTATTGCCCTTGGAATATCTAAATCCTTTCTGTGCATTTCATCAAGGTTGCCGATATTTTTAGTCTGATTTAATCTTTTCTGCGGTGGTTCAGCTCAGAGTGCTCGGGGACACCTCTGGCTTGGATGAAACATCTTTGTTATGTTAACGTTGTCATTAATCTTACAGGCCTGTCTCTTCTGAGTAAAGCTCAGAGTCTGGTATCACCTTCACAAGGGAAATGTAACTGGTTGCCATAAGGAAGCTGGTTCTCTTTGTGCTTACGACTCTGGGGGTTTGCATTATAACTGCAGTGTTAAACTGGGGTCACCCTACCCTTTGGGTAACATTTAATAAGATATTCACACCGTGAGAGCTGGGTTAATTACTCTTTAGGCACTAGACATAGTTACCCTTCCATTTCTACCCAGGTGTTTTATGTAAAACCTCAAACAAAATGAGAGAAAAGGGAGATCAGTAAGTGAATAGTGTCTGTGGATTTCTCGATTTCTCCAAAGAAATGCTGTTGTTTAATAGCATTTAGAATTGATGGTTCATTTTTAGTATCCCCAAAGAATCCTGGATGCGGGGTGATAACCTGATTCCGCTCTCTAGTCTCTGTGAATAGAAGCCCGCAGTGATTGGAATTGGGAACTTTACGTTGGCAGCATGAGGATTTCTCTTTGCTCTGAGGGAGACTTCAGAGTCTCGACTCCAGCTCCTGAAGTGTAGGAAATGCCAGGCCTTGGCAGTTCTCAGTTGGTAGCTGGCAGAGCTGACCCTAGAGCCTCTGCCTCCTAATGACCAACCTAGGACATTTTCTGTTGTATCATTTTCCTTTAGCGTGTGTTTTGAAAACCCTGTTAAGCACACATTTTGAGATTAGCATGTGTGGTCCATCACAGGGTGATGCTGAGAGATCTGGGAGAGGACTGAGCCCCAGAGCCTCAGCCTGGGGAGGGGGGCACCAAAGCTAGTGGTTTGACCTTCATATCTCTACCCATGGATGGCCTGATTATGACTTGTCAGCTGTCATTCTTATTTGTCCTCCTCTTAAAGGTTCTAGGAGCTATTTCATGCTTCTGATGAGGTAGGTGGTGTGATACTTTTGAGAATGCATGGGTCGGGACAGGGCACCTTCATAGATTATTAGTGGCAGGGCTGAAGGTATCTAAGTCTAGATGAAAGGCTAGCCCAGGGTGGTTAGATGACTTACATCACCTGTAGGTGGCAGAGCTGCAGTGAGATTACACATCTTCTGACTCCCAGTCCGGTGCTCATCCCATTTTGGCCTTAGCCCTTGAAATGAGGAACTTTTCAGCCCTAATGAATTTGTCTAGAATGTGGTGGGAGAAAGACTATGCGGTATCCTCCCTGCTGCCCCCTCTGTCCCTCTGTGCTGCCCCTCCAGGGGTCTAAGGACAGGTGCTCTTCCAGGGCAGCTCTGTGTGATGGAAAAACATGCACTTTATTATTATTTTTTAATACTTAATTTTTTTTATGGAAGTATAGCTGATTTACAGTGTAGTGCCAATCTCTGCTTACAGCAAAGTGACTCAGTTATACACGTATAGACATTCTTTTTTTTATATCCTTTTCCATTATGGTTTATCACAGGATATTGTATATAGTTCCCTGTGCTATACAGTAGGACCTTGTTGTTTATCCATCCTATATATAATAGTTTACATCTGCTAATCCCAAACTTCCAGTCCTTCCCCCAGCCCCGCCTTGGCAACCACAAGTCTGTTCTCTATGTCTGTGAGTCTATTTCTGTTTTGTAGATAGGTTTATCTGTGCCATATTTTAGATTCCACGTACAAGTGATATCATGTGGTATTTGTCTTTCTCTTTCTGACTTACTTCACTTCGTATGATAATCTCTAGGTGCATCCACATTGCTGCAAATGGCATTATTTCATTCTTTTTATGGCTGAGTAGTATTCCACTGCATATATACGTACCACATCTTCTTTATCCATTCATCTGTTGATGGACATTTAGGTTGTTTCCAAAAAGCATGTACTTTAGAGTCAGACCTGTGAGTTAACAATGCTGAGATGACCTGGGCCGATGACCCACCTGCTGAAGATGTTTTTCTCATCTGCAACATGGAGTTCACATCTGTTACTTTAAAAGATTTCATTGGGGAGTAAAAGTTTCTAAGACATAGCAGATGCTCAATAAATATTGGTTTCTTTCTTTCTTTTCTGTCTCCTCCCTTTGTTTGCTTAAGGGAGAAGCCACATTATATATGGTGTCAGAGGGGTGGTGGTGCAGAGGTGGGCTGAAAGCAGAGGTGTAAGATAGGCAGCTCAGCACTGCCACTGTCTCTCTTATTCCCCATCACCTCTCCAGAGCTTCTGTACTGTTGGAGTTGTAAGAGAGGAATTAAGTGTAAGTAGAAGTAGACGTTGAACCTCATTTCACTGATTACCATTGCAACAAAAACATCTTTATAAGTAAAGGTGACCAGTGACCTGTTGACGGCTCTCTTATTTTATTTCAAATACCAGAATATTTTTTGAAAGGTGCCTGGAAAACCATTATCCACAGACAGATCTTAACAGTTGGCATCAGAGTGAGCCTGTGTAAACATGTTCTAAGAGATGCACTTGAATGTATAGATATAGACTGCACAGCACATCTTACTCTGAAAGTTTTGAAAATTAAAAAAGAATCACAGTAGACTATGCTAATTCCTTAGAGAAGTTTCCTTAAGAAAGGGTAAGTGTAGTTTTGGAAATGTCTCTGATGTAAGTGATTCGTGTCCTTATAATGTGATCCTTGTTCTTCATCCTTCCCAGATGGGCTAAGGGCCCTTAGATTCTCACGGTACCTCAAAAATCACTGCATCGCAGCCCTTCACCTGTCAGGAGCAAGCCTGCGTCTCAGGCTTTGGAATGAACGCAGTATAAGAACAAAACACCTGCACTACTGTTTTGCTTCTCTTGTGATTTATATCACTTGTAGCTGTTGCTCATACGTCCCGGGGAAGAGATGGTAGCTCCCCCATGTTAAACTTCTTGAGTCTTTCCTATTAAGATGTTTAATATTTATGTGCGGAGGGACATAAGCACAAAATCGTTCCTGGTAAATGACATTCTAAGTTTATAAAGTAGAAGAGAAAATATGCCCAACATATAGTCTTCTCACTGTGGAAGTACCATTTTGGGGGGGAGGTTTCACTCTGATATAACTTCCCTAATTCTCCTGCCAGAAATCTGACTTGAAGTATTTTTTAGAAGCATTAAAGAATTTTAAATTGTAAAACAATTTTCAAAACTTCAGAGTAAGATGTGCTGTGTGGTCTATATCTGTACATTCAAGTGCATCTCTTAGAACATGTTTACACGGGCTTGATGCCAGCTGGTAAGATCTAGTCCGTGGATAATAGGTTTCCGAGCACTTTTCGGAAAATATTCTGGTATTTGAATTTTCTTATATATAAAATCGGTGAGTTGGTGTAAAAAGTGCAGTAGAAACAGGGTCTCCCTGAGCAGAGAAGTAAGCCCCAAAGATGTTCTACACAAAGGAAAAGGAGATGCAGATCTCATAATATTGGTGTTAGCATTTTCTTGCTCCCTGGAAAGCATCAAGTTGTGATTTAATCGATTTTTACATTTAATCTGATTTAAATGGAGGCACAGACACGACCAAACAGGCAGGAAGATATCCCGTGGGAAACTGAGGTTCTGCCACCTAGGCCCTTGAGTTTACCCTCTTCCCTCCCCGCCCCTGGAAAAGGCAGAAAGCACAGTGCAGGTTTCTTATGGGCTGCACGTGGAAACACCTGGGCAGCTCCTGGCACAAGGATGGACACAGCAGCACTGAACTGGATCCGACTCTGCTTGGGGTTTAGACCCCAGAAGCGTCACCACAGAGGATTTCCTCCTGTTCCTAAGGGAGAGGCACATGTGAAGCCAAGCTGTCTTTCTTCACAGGCTGTGCTTCACAATTTCGTTTGAACTCATGAAAATCTTCGTAACCAAGACCTAGTCTCGTGCGGTTAGGCCTGCTGGGTCCCTGCTGCTTTCCCCACTGGGTGGACCGCGTCTAAGGAGGGGAGAGGCAGAGGTGCCTGCACGGGGCCGCGAGAGGCCGCAGTTCTGGCTTTTGTGGCAGCAACACCTAGTGGCAGAAGTTGAGAGTGAGAAGAGTGAACTTGCCTGTGGGGAGATCCTTTCCCACTTCCATGACAGGCCAGAAAGGAAGCAATCACGTTTCTGCACACCAGCTTCCTTGAGGTTTTTTCAGACTGGTAAGAAAATTAGCTCCTAATCAAAGGGAGCTCTGTAATGCCAAAGATTAATTCTCTAGTAAATGTTTTCCAGTTTCTCCATGTAAGAGGTTTGAAGTGGAAATACTGGTCTCTTCTACCTATCAGATGGCAGTGTTCCCGGTCACAGATGTGTTTAACAAGATTTGGGACATGCATGTATTACAGTGCAGGTGGTTAGAAATTCACTCCCTTATTTTCTGAGCTAGGAGTTCACTGTTAACATCTTTAAGCTGGAGGGATAGCTCCAAAGTTCCTTTCGGTTCCCAAGCCCTTCATCGCCGATTTCTGGATGAGCAGGAATTGAGTTGAATGTGTAGGATATTGTATTTCCCAGAATATCCAGATGTTTCATTGGCTGAGCAAGGTGGGCAAAGTGGTATTTTAACCAATCTCTCTTCTGCGGGGAAGCACCACACCATTTCCTTCATCTTACCAGCCAGCTTATAGCTGGCATCCTGGTATCCAACGGTCATCCGTCGAGAAACCAGGATAGCAAAAATGACATAACCAACCACAAAAAATTAAATATGGTATTTCGTTTCAGGATGATGAAATTAACCAGCAGAGCCAGCTGGCTGAAAAGCTAAAGCAACAGATGTTGGATCAGGATGAGGTAAAGAATGCAATAAAAAAATTTTTTTACACAGTTCTTTTATGACTCTGTTGTTGATGTATGTTCCAGAAATTTAACTCGCAAAGTGTTTTTTTAAAATCACTGCATCATGTGAAAATTTCTTGGAAGATTTCCTTTCAGTGCCTGCTGAAAGCTGATTTTAGGGGAATTTAGAAAATAAATGTGACTTCCTAGAACTCTAGGGTTTTGAGAGCGCATAGCTGGCTGCTACACAGTCTATGAAGGGCAGAAATAGAGGAGCTTGGAGGTCGGGCAAGGATGATCCTGCTTCCTCATACTCAGGGCCCAGCGCTCCTGGTTTGTGCCACTTCTGCCTTTCTTCGGCTTTGCAAATCAGACAGCTCAGGCCTTTGATATGCACCATGTTCTTGTGCTGTCTTGTAGGAAAAAAAATAGCCCCAAAACAGAAGTAGAAGGTAGAGGAGAGGAAAGCAAAGAAGATAGGGGTCCAAGTGCTGCGTTAGAATATATGTGATACGGTAACGAGGAGGGAAATTTTTTTCAGTCTCTTCCTGGATGGCATTCAATTCTCCAGTAAATGTCTCTATTGTATTGTGTTTTGCCAAGCACTTTACAAATAGGAACCTAAGCAAAGAACAGATAGCCAATCTATCAAACACAAATGATTCGTAATTCTCTTACTGAGGCCACCTAAGTATGTTTTCTCTTTTGTGCTTTAGGGTGCTTTCTGCTTTGTTGCTAAAATGCTGTGAGTTGGATCATATGATGCAATTATAGCAAGTGGCTTAAGTTCATGGCCCCAGTCCCAGCCCTCTCGTAGACATAACTCTCTCTCTAACGATCTTTTTCTCTTCCTCTTTGTTATCCTTCATCTCTCCAGGACAATGATTATGCCCTCTGCCCAAACACTTCCCTTGGCAGGAACCATATTTAACTGATTCCGCTTTTAACTAGAGTCTTCATTTGCTTTGTGTTTCCTGCCATCTTCCTCCCATTCTGTTGCTTTTCATCTCCAACTTGGTACAACTGCCTGTGATAACCTTTCCTTTTTGTTACAGTTAAAACTCTTAATATTTTTTTTCTCTACTATCAAGACAATATCTGTTCATTACAGGAAAATCAGAAAATACAGTAAGCACAAAAATAATGAAAGTATCCATAAGCTCAGTCATTCACTTTTAACTAGTGTTAATGTTTGGGGTATATTCTTTTATAATCCGTGATGAATATTAAGAAAAATTAGTGACTTCCCTTTTATACTGTTTTGGTTGACTCTAAAATCGACCTGTTTACAATGTGAAATAATGATAATAGTAAAAAGCCATGTAAGTATTATTATAGTCCTTGGAAATTATTCCTCCTCGTCCTCTGTTCAACTTGTGGAATAGCCAGCCAGCTACAAAGTGTGGTGATTTATTTATATTTTTTTTTGCGGTACGCGGGCCTCTCACTGCTGTGGCCTCTCCCGTTGTGGAGCACAGGCTCCGGACGCGCAGGCTCAGCGGCCATGGCTCACAGGCCCAGCCGCTCCCGGGATCTTCCCGGACCGGGGCACGAACCCGTGTTCCCTGCATCGGCAGGCGGACTCTCAACCACTGTGCCACCAGGGAAGCCCTGTGTTTTTGTTTTTTGTTTTTTGTTTTTTTTGTGTGTGTGTGTGTGTGTGTGTGTGTGTGGTGATTTTTGATGTGTAATCAATTCTTGGAGTTAAGCCTATGTAGCTTTAAATAAGAAAGAAAGAAAGAAAAATTAGAAAGAAAGAGAAACAGATTTTCAAAACAATATGCTATTTTTTCATTTAGCATCTGGATATATAGTAGCATTTCTAGTTATCCTGAGCTTTTCAACTTATTTTCTTTTATCTGTTTTTTTAAAAAATTACTTTATTTTGGATAGAGCACAGAGTATAAACTCTTGAACGTTCGATTCACCAGTTCCATGCCATCTAATTTCCCCAGCTTTTAGCTTCTACAAGAAGAGACTATGAGAAGATTCAGGAGGAGCTGACACGTCTCCAGATTGAAAATGAGGCAGCCAAAGATGAGGTGAAAGAAGTTCTCCAGGCCTTGGAGGAGCTGGCTGTCAATTACGACCAGAAGTCACAGGAAGTGGAGGACAAGACCAGGGCCAATGAGCAGCTGACAGATGAGCTGGCCCAGAAAACGGTTGGAGCATTTGTGTGTAGGGGGCAGGACTTCCTCAGCAGCCAATCGTGTACTTATATTAATGTTTGCTGACAGACACTGTGTATAGCAAGGCAGTTGGCTGAGTGGTTTTTCAGTGTTAGGCATAGATGCATTCTTTGAAATCCTCCAATTATTGAAATACTTTGTGTAAGTGACTTGTCCATTCCCCCCGGAACTGCATGTCAGAACTGTTTTATATCTAGGGGATTTGTAACACCAGCAGGGATGCCTTGTAGGATAGTCAAGAGAGCACAGACTTTGGAGCCAGAAAAACCCTAGCTAAAACTTTGACTTTACAACTATTAGGCCTTAGTCGAGACATTTAAACTTGAGTATTCATTTCCTTATCTGTAAAAATGGCGATAATAACATGTTCCTTTCAGGGCGTGAGAATTGGTGACAGTTTACATAAAGCACTTAGCACGGACCTGTGCATATGCCACAATCTTAGCAAATAAGTCTCAAAATATTATATTAACAGGGGAGAGCGGCTGACCTGTGGAAGGTCTGGATTTCACTCTCCTTGTTTACACCCTCCTGAATGCAGTCCATTCCTTCCCCAGAGCTGCTTATCCTCGCCTAGGACCAAGCTGTCCTGGTTTGTCTGTTGTCCTTTTCAGCCAGTGTTTCAGTCTTCACATTTCCTAATTTTCAGATTCTCCCAGCGAAAGATGCTGCAGGTTCTGCTCAGTGAGCTAGTGGCAGAGGGCCAGTGAACATTTGGTGAGGTGGCTGGTGGTGGGATGTGTCCATTTTGTCTTTTTCTACTTGGAAGATGGGTGGTGGGAAGCCGAGTGGCTGTAACTGGCTGCCCTTGGCACTTTGGCCTGGTGGCCTGGTGTCATGGGATTGTGCCCAGCCTGCTTTGTGGAAAACAGCCAGTCCTCCCAGGCAAGGGGAAGTAGCAGATGGTGCAGGAAAGCTCTGATCTGCTGACCGTAGAGCTGATAGAAAATGCTCCTTACTCCATACATTCAGCTGCACGAAGGAAGACTTTTTAATGTTTCCCAAGACGGGAACTACTGCTTCTGTGGATTTTAAAAACAAAATGAAAGAAGCAGCGGCAATGCCAAAATAAAAACAAGAACCAGAGAAACAAAGCAGAAGTCACGTAGGAAAGGAGGAGACTTAGATTTTCTCTGCTTATGGTTTTCTGTCAGATTCTTTAACTAGTCCTTGGTACTAGTTGCTTCCCAAAACAATGAAATGTTTTCCATGATACAGGTTTTATTTTCTGTCAAACCAAAGTACTGCTAGACTGGTTTAGAGTGCTATTTTTAGTCGTATCATTAAAAGTCCTCTAGTAAAAATGCTCTAGTAAAAATAGCTGCATATGGAAGAATTACATGAATGTCTTTGCATTAACCTCTACAACTCCATAATTTAGGGAAATTATTTTCTTTGTTGGCTGAGTTAGTACCAAGACACCAAAAGATGGCTGTTCTGTTGGTGGTGAGAGTTTGTTAATTAAAAATATATACATTTGGGTAACATACATGAAGGGTGGGAAAGGTGGGTTTGTTCGTGTTTGGCAGTGAAATGGAGCGTCTGCTATATATTAAGAAGCCGTCTCCAGTTGAACCAGACCAATTTTGAAACGAGGTGAAGTGTTCAATTCAGCTTCACCGCGAAGATTAAAAGACTTTTTCTAGGTTGCTTTCGAGACTCACTAATGTCCCTTTGGGCCTCCCAGACCCATCTGTTTTGAAGCCAGATGGGAATTTGGAAATGGTCCCAGGGAGCAGGTTTTGTTTGGAAGTGGAGGTGGGGATGCTTGCAGGTATGTTTCGACCCTGGAGAATGTGGACTGAAACAGAACATTTGGTAGGTAGGACGGTATGATTACACATAATAAACGTAAGGATTCCTTTTGGGCTTTATTTATTTTTAATAACTTATTTTTAGTAACTTATTTAATAACTGACCTGGAAGTTGTTGTGTGATATGCAGACAAATGACATATCAGGCCAAGACAAATTCCTTTTCTTATCAGAGAATGCAGTGCTATACTATAGTCTGGATGAAAAGGGCTCTTGTGTTGAAATCACATGAAATGATAAAAGAACGCTATCCTACATTCTGTTGTTATTCTTTGCAATGCCATGTGTGTGAAATTGATGAGTGACCCTTTTAATTTGCTGTTAAAATGTGTTTTGCAGACTACATTGACAACCACACAAAGAGAGCTGAGCCAGCTGCAGGAGCTTAGCAATCACCAGAAAAAGAGGGCTACCGAGATCCTGAATTTGCTGCTGAAGGATCTGGGGGAGATAGGAGGAATTATTGGCACCAATGATGTGAAGACTGTAAGCTAGCCTTTCTTGTATCCTCTCTACCTGCTCGTATAATGGCATGATTCTAAGCAAGCAGAGGCTGTGTTTTATTCTCCTGAGTATCCAGTGCTTAGCACAGTGTTTTGCATCTGCTACGCGCTTGATAATATTTGAATGAACGAACGAAGGGCTGATTGAGTGACTAAGTAAATGATTGGTTAAGGAGGAGAGAAACATTTACCTTTCAATTATAGGAAATGTCCTCGAATCTTGGTTGGCCTTATGTAAGTTGGCTTATTCCTCAATGTTGCATACCAGTGTCACAGAGGTGTGGGACTGGATACGTTAAGCAAAAGTTGTACCCTCAGAAACGTTTCTCCTTTTCTATGAGAATCCAACAGAGTGAAAATCGCCAACCCATCAGTATGAATTAGGAGAGCTTTCAGCTGGAAGTAATAGGATTCTAACAGTGGCTTAAAAAAATAAAGCCACATTTAATTATTCACAATATGAGAAGTCTAGAATCTTGTTATTTCAGGTTGTGATCTGCATTCACCTGGGAACTTGTTTGAGCTATAGACTCTCAGGCCCACCTCAGACCTACTGAATTAGAATTTTCATTTTAACAAGATTCCCCAGGTCATTCTTATGCTTCTTGAAGTTTTAGAAGCAAAATTTGGTTTGTTGCAGTATCTCAACAATGTCGGGCATCCAGGCCTTTTCTTTATTTTGTTTCTGCTTTCCTCAGCCTATTGCCTTTGCACATCTATAGATTTTTATCTCAAGGTAGCAAGATAGCTTCTGTAGCACCAATCATCACATCCCCACACAACCACATCCAAGGCAGGATGGGCTGCAAAGGCAGCCAGCTTTCATCCAGGAGGGAACTATAATCCTAGAAATCCCCAATAGACATCCCCTTATACATTATAAAGGCCGGAATTGGGTCACACGGTCACCTCAAACTTCAAGGGAAGCTGGGAAAGCAAAGAGAAATAGTATTACTATAATGGGCTTAAACTAACCATGATTAACCCCTTGGGTGGTGCAGCTTGGTGTAGCAAGGATGTAAGGGAGATGGGGAGAAAGAGGGTGGTGTAACGTTGTCTATGAGTTAGGAATAGAGAGAAAAGAGAATAAACGATGTTATCATCTGAGAACAATTAACAATTTGCCACAATATAGAGGACGTTGGAAAATAAGAAAGTGACATTGAACAAAATAGCTTGATTGAGGTATAATTGACGGAAAGTAAGCTGCACATATTTAAAGTATACAGTTTGAGAAGTTTTGACATATGTATACACTCATGAAACCATCCCCACAATAAGATAATGAGCATGTCTGCCACCTCCAGAAGTGTGTAGGGCTATTTCTGGTCTCTCTAGTCTATTTCAGTGATCTAATCTTCATGCTGTACCACACTGTTTTGATTACCATAGCTTTATATGCACTCAGCGCCTTCTGGGGAGTATCCATTGATTAAACGTGTGTGGATTTTATCCAGCCAGGGAATAGTGTTATAGTATTCAGCTTCGTCACAGGTCCCTAAAATCAAATTCTTAGAGTTTAGCCCTTCAGCCTTTAAAAGGCCAAATTCTACGTCAGTCTGCTCTGTGGGAACACTCAGGTTTTGAGTTGAGTTTGTTAAATACTAGAGAAGCCTCCCCAAATTACTTTCGTTTATTGACATTTCTGGGAAACATTGAAAGTCCTCCTTCGATGGTATAACAGATCTAGGTTTAGAGTATATGGCTTCTTGTAAACCCAGTCATTCTTTCATGGAACCTGTATTGTAACTGAATATTTCATGAATCTTTGCAAATGAATCTAATTTTAGTGTAGAATTCTTAGGTACTGTAAGATTAATCCTTTCCAGTTTAGTGATTTTGTATTTGAGGATTTATTTTTAGAAGCATATATTGGTGTTGAGCTATAAACTTCTGAGATTGGGGTGATTAAATGGCCCTCGCAATGTGAAGGTACAGTTGATTTATGGGAAGTTGGCGCCTGCTGCTGATAATGATAAAGGAAGATATTTTTATGCTAAGTTCTAAAATAGAGCTGATGAAAAATGCTAATGAAATCAAGGAGTGTCCGGGTGCTTTGGAATTTAAAAAAAAAAGAGTCCTTACCTTTGGGATATGAAGTATGATTGAGATTATTTTTAAATACTTTCAATGTTTTTAAGTTATTTTTGGATTCCAGAAATTGGATGCCCTAGTTAATTTCATTGGTAACTAAGTTCATTGATAACTTTCACTTATATAGCATCATATTCTTAATTGTTCTGTTTTTTTTTTTTCTTACAATTATGATTTAATCATTAGGGCAATGAGAGCTAAAGGGGAGGAATTATGTGACTTTGGGCAAGTTACTTTACTTCTCTCGGTTTCACTTTCCTAATTTGTAAAATGACAAGATGAGGGGCTTCCCTGGTGGTGCAGTGGTTAAGAATCTGCCTGCCAATGCAAGGGACACGGGTTCGAGCCCTAGTCCGAGAAGATCCCACATGCCGCGGAGCAACTAAGTCCATGTGCCACAACTTCTGAGCCTGTGCTCAAGAGCCCGCAAGCCACAACTACTGAGCCCACGTGCCACAACTACTGAAGCCTGCGTGCCTAGAGCCCATGCTCTGCAACAAGAGAAGCCACGACAATGAGAAGCCTGCGTACCACAACGAAGAGTAGCCCGTGCACAGCAACGAAGACCCAACGCAGCCAAAAATAAAAACAAACAAATAAATAAATAAAATTAAAAAAAAAAAAAGGCAAGATGAGTCCAGATTATCTTGAAGGTTGTCAGCTCAGGAATTGCATGAGTTATGTGTATATTTCTTAGATCTTTCATTGTGGGTACAGATACTTTTCTTACTGATTATGAGTATTCAACTGATATAATTCTTTTGATCTAAAAAACGAGATCAAGGAAATCTTTTTCGGTGATCTTGTATTTTTATTCCTAACATGTTGTTCGGTCCCCACAAGGTCCCTCCTAATAGTGCTCTGGGGTGAGAGGGAAAGATAGGTGTTGGAGTCTCCCTCAGTCCTCAGTTCCAGGATATGACGGGCCTAAACAGCAAGGAAACAGAAGAACCCATATTTCTCCAGCTCAATCACATCTGGAAACATTTTCAGAGCCCAGGCAATCCTTTAAGTCAACAAAACAAGATGAGAGCAGCTGATGACAAGATGAGCCTAGTGTTGACTTTATTCAGGTTTATTAGCGAGCCTCCCCTTCCTTTCATGTTCCGATGTCACCGGTCTTTCTTTAAAACGAAGATTTCCAGATTCCTAGCCACAGGCAGAATAGCAGGTTGAGGTAGAGTGAACGAGATGGATTGGATTAGCTGCCTAATTTTCTTTCGACCTCAGGTCTGGCTGAGGTGGAGGTGAAGAAGTTCAAGCAGGTGACACAGACCCTGGGCCCCGGCTCCATCAGAGACCTGATGGGTGGACCAGAGATGCAGATAAAACTGCTCCAGATCCTGGGTCTGAAGTCAGTCTTCATCACCGACAGCTCCCTTTCCACCGACTTCTTCAACACAGCCTGGGGTCTGCTGGGGCTGGGGTCTGAGGTCCAGTCCCCAGCCAGAAGGGTGACTGGGGTCCCCACCCCCAGGACAGCTTGCTTCTTCAGTCCCCTCTTGCCCCTCAAGCTCTTGGAAGCAACTGTGTCCTACCTTAGCTCTGTACTGCACTTATAAATAAACCTGACGATTCTGAGCACTTTTTTTTTAAAGGATTTTTTAAAGTCCCATTATGACTTTTAGGTCTTAGAATGTGAACAGTCACCTCACTTACCTTTTACTTGACCTAGAAATGGCACCTTGCTCAGCTGCTCCGTGCTCTAGAGTCATGGGGTGGGCGTGGGGGGTGACTCCTTCCATACAGGCAAGATGGAAGGAGAGGCAGCCTCTTCTGCTGGATTAGTCAGGACTGGACTGGATCGCACAGTCCAGTACGTACAGTGGAGTCATTGTCAGACCCAGGGGAGAGTTATGAAATAATAGTGCAGCAGCAAACTCTGATTCTTCTTTTTGAAATAACAGTATATACTGGAATTACTGAAAACTCTGAACTAAACATGACTAAATATATGAACTCATAAGTGGTAGGAAACCTTACAGTTAAAACCATTTGTGTGGAGTATTGTTTTTTTCCATCAGGTGTGGATTCAAAATCTCCCTTTAGACCTCCTAGGACAAGTGTAGGCTTCAGAAGTTATGGTTCTGGTTTGGGGGAAGAAATATCCAGCTCTCACTTTGGAGGGAGCTCATTATTGTACATTTTTTTCACTCTTGCCCGATTCACATGGCACCTGGGCATAGCATACAAAGTGTCCTCATCTAAGGAGAGCCCTAGAGGAGGAGGTGTTTGTTCCCTTCTCATGATGCTCTACCTCTTGGTTCAGCAATGTTTTCCCACCAGGAGATGGTGTAGGTTGTGAATTCCACATGAAAGAGATGGATGTCCCCTTACCTTTATACAGAAAGACAATAAGCAGGCACACCTGGTCAGGCTAAAGATGAGCTTCTCATCTCTGTTCCACGTTGGACCAGTCACAAAGGCAGAGGGACAAAACTGAACTTAAAGATGGAGGGATTTTCTCACCCGTTACCTCCATAGTATTGGATTATAAAAGGAATGTAATGAGGAGTGGTGTTGCTAGGCAAATCGTTGGCAGTCAGAAATGTAACTAACTGATTAGCGAGAACCTCCACCAAAGTAAGATGGAGTCAGATATCGATGCTCGTGGATTTTCTTGCTGTTAACATAGATTCTGCATTGTGTTGATGGACACTGGAGTCATTTAACAAATACTGTTGTGGAATTTTTAGGGGAAGGTTGACACCAAATTACAGGCACTCAGCACTGTCTAGCGTATTTCCTATCTGCTACCGATTTTCCAGTTGATACACGATTCCATATTCCTAGCTCTTAAATGTTTACTGAAAAAATAGTCATACGATGAGTTAATGACGGTAATAATGACAAAAATGGGCAGCGAACTGTGGAACATCAAAAAACCATAGTTGGAATCATTGTCTTAGAACCAACTGAAGCCTCTGTTCACGGGCTGGGTACTGGACAGGGCTCTTGGTTTTCTCCTGAGGTGCTAGGATGCCCTCTGGTGGTTAAACAAAATATTCACACAGTTGCTTTGCTCCTGTGGTCAGTTGCCCTTCAAGACCATCTCTGCTTCTCAGCAAATGGGTTTTTATCCCAAGTAGCTTGCTGCAGTGTTTGTTTCCAGTAGAACTCTGAAAATTAGACAACAAACATGAGATGGTACAGGAATGCTGGTTGTCAGAATCTTTTCTTCTAAAGGTGGATTTACATTGTTATTCTTAGGTGATCTAGATTCCTGTGTGCTTGGAAGGGACAGTTGGGTAGAGGCAGGGAAACAGATGGGTAGTACTGAGAAGTTATGCAGGAAAATTTTCATCCAGAGGTACTTTTGGTAATAGCACATTCTTAGTCATTAGATTTTTTATTTAATCGAAGACTACATAGAAAATCCTTCTTATTTCAACCCTTGCTTATGGAAACATAGTCAAGCTATTAGACTGCTTGCCTCTCTGGATAGCAGATTATAGAGAACATAATAGAAATTTTGATTTGACTTCTTATGGGGACTCAGAGTCACCTTAGGAACACTGGGCTTTGCTGCTGTTCCAGAAATGTAAGGTGTAAGACATTGAATGGAACACCTCTTCAGAGTTAGCTCTTTTTAAAATTTCAGTGTCTTTTTCTTCTGTCATCTCTTTTATCCTAAAAATCAGTTGTAATGAAAAACCTGGTTAAGTGAAGATTATGTTAGTAGAGGATTTATTTATTTTTGGCTGCATTGGGTCTTCATTGTTGCGCGCGGGCTTTCTCTAGTTGTGGCGAACGGGGGGCTACTCTTGGTTGTGGTGCATGGGCTTCTCATCGCAGAGGCTTCTCTTTGTTGCGGAGCACGGGCTCTAGGTGCGTGGGCTTCAGTAGTTGTGGCTCATGGGCTCTAGAGCGCAGGCTCAGTAGTTGTGGCGCACGGGCTTAGTTGCTGCGTGGCTTTTGGGATCTTCCTGGACGAGGGCTCGAACCTGTGTCCCCTGCATTGACAGGCGGATTCTTAATGACTGCACCACCAGGGAAGCCCCCAGTAGAGGTTTTTAATTGAAAGTTTTACCCGAGGTTTCAGAGAACTTGGGATTGAACGTATAGTACTTTTTAGAGAAAAATTCTCAGCTTGTGGTCCTCCAATTAGGGTTTCTTAACCAGAAATCCACAGACATCTTGAGTTCCCATGAACAGGTTTCAGGGCCCCCATGAACCTCTGGAAATTGTAGGCATAGTTGAGTGTGTTCCCTCCTGTGCTCAGTTGGCAGATGTGAATGGAGTCATCGAGGAGGAATTCACCATGGCCCGGCTGTACATCAGCAAGATGAAGTCGGAGGTTAAATCTCTGGTGAACCGCAGTAAACAGCTTGAGAGCGCCCAGATGGACTCCAACAGGAAGATGAACGCCAGTGAGCGGGAGCTGGCAGCCTGCCAGCTGCTCATCTCCCAGGTAGGCCACGCCTTTCTTCCTCATTTAACACCCTTGTGCTCTGGAAAATCTGCTTCCTCCGTGCTCTTACTGGGGCCGATGGTGCATAACAGGGATAGTTGATGGACTTTGCTTTATGTAAAACTTGTCCATGGCCTCCTAGGCAATGACAGCCCAGGCTTATTTCTTAAGGCTAGGTTTAGTTGTGTGAATTACATGGATTACCTTCAGTCCCTGTTTAAAGGATGTGTCTATATATCTTTATCTAGCTAAGTAGGTAGGTAGGATAGGTAGAGATATGTAATGAATGGACAAGACTGGGTGGCATCTAAAACTCCTATCAGCTAAGACAACATTCTTTCGTCTTTTTTTTTTTTTTTTTTTGCGGTAAGTGGGCCTCTCACTGCTGTGGCCCCTCCCACTGCAGAGCACAGGCTCCGGACGCACAGGCTCAGCGGCCATGGCCCACGGGCCCAGCCGCTCCGCGGCACGCGGGATCCTCCCAGACCGGGGCACGAACCCGTGTCCCCCGCATCGGCAGGCGGACTCCCAACCACTGCGCCACCAGGGAAGCCCTCTTTCGTCTTTTAATCTCTACCACAGGTCCAATTTAATATGGGACAACAGAAACTACCATCACTACTACTATTATTAATAGTAGTAGCAGTTAACCTTTTACTGAGTGCTTACAACGCACCATATACTATGTTAAGCACTTTACGTGCATTCTCTCACTTGATCTTTTTTTTGCGTACGCGGGCCTCTCACTGTCGTGGCCTCTCCCATTGCGGAGCACAGGCTCTGGATGCGCAGGCTCAGCGGCCATGGCTCACGGGCCCAGCTGTTCCGCGGCATGTGGGATCCTCCCGGACCGGGGCACAAACCCATGTCCCCTGCATCGGCAGGCGGACTCTCAACCGCTGCGCCACCAGGGAAGCCCCTCTCACTTGATCTTTAAAAAATTCCTGATGGGCAGGTTTTATTTATTTATTATTTTTTATTTTTTTTTGCTGTACGCGCGCGGGCCTCTCACTGCTGTGGCCTCTCCCATTGCGGAGCATAGGCTCTGGACGTGCAGGCCCAGCAGCCATGGCTCACGGGCCCAGCCGCTCCGCGGCACGTGGGATCCTCCCAGACCGGGGCACGAACCCGTGTCCCCTTCGTCGGCAGGCGGACTCCCAACCACTGCACCACCAGGGAAGCCTGCAGGTTTTATTATTGTTCCTGTTTTTTTAAATAAGGAAAATGAGACTTGAAAGGTTAAATATACTGTCCAAACTCATATAGCCAGTGAAAGGCGGAGCTGGGACTCAAACCAAACTGTGTGTGAACTCAAAGCCTTGAAGGAATCTTCAAGCTCCTGGGGCATATGTCATCCCCTCAATGAGTAAGGCTACTCTTCTTCCATTAGAAGGGTATTTTCATTTTAGTAAGGTGGTTTCAGAAAACAGCAGCCTCGTTTCTGACCTGCCACTGATACCTGAGCTTGGTGTTTGGGCTTGAGGCTTCTGTGAGTGGTCCAGTGTGTGCTCCTCACTGCCTTAGCCCAGGTATTAAAACAGCTGAAGTCATTTGGGGTAAACAGAGACCAGTATGGAATGGCGCATCAGACAGTGCTGAGAAACAGACAAAAGCATACTTCATCCTGTACGCTTTTAAACATAGGGATGTGTCATCATAGAACCATCTCCTACCATAATCATCTAAGGGATGCAAATTAAAACATCAAGTTTCCATTTTATAAATAACATAATAAGCAAAGATGTATTAATATTTAAGAGATTATTCAGTGCTGGTGTGTGATAGTGAAATTTATTGAGAAAAGTATAATTTGGTCAGTCCATTTGGAAAGGACCTTGGGAATCAAAAACCATAAAAATGTAAGTATACTTTGGTCCAGTAATTTCACTTATAGCATTTTTCATTGATAATGAAAATGAAAATTTTTCATTTCGTATGGTATTATCATTCCCTGATTAAAAATATTAGCATTTATATGGAAGATGTTTAATGCAGTATTACTTTCATTTTAATTAAGTAAAATAGGCGACTATCTATTGAGAGACTAATAACATAAAGTGACATGGAAGGATTTATGCAGCTCTTACAAAAAACTGATAAAAACCAGTCATTTGGAAAGTATAATTATATAAAGTTAAGTAAAAATGAAAATGCTGAGTTACAGATCTATGCTATGCCTTGCAACTTGGCAAAATATGCATTCATTTAGATAAGACCAGGAATATAGGGACATGGTTAATAAATTAGAATGGTTCATGGGTGAAATTTATACTACTTTTTCTGTATTTGCTTTACTGTTTGACATTTTTATAATTTGTGGAAGTTGAGAGGAAAAACACTAAACATTAGGACATGGTACACCTCAAGTCTGATTTCCAGATCACCTGTTACACTGAGAGCATGTGCTTCCGGAGGCCCCTAATATTTGGAGGCCAAGGCAAGAGCACAGACAGAGGCCCTGCGGCCTGCAGCCCAGTGTCTGTCCTTCCATCTGGATGTACCAGCCTCCATGTCCAAGTCGAGTCCCTTCTGCACGTTCTGTGAACTGATGGAAGTGTGTAACTGGGTCAGCTGTAATCTATATAAATGGATGATGGGAGCTGCACTGCTGGTCCTGGGAGTGGCCTTAGGGCCATTGGAGTAAGGAGTTTCTAGTTTCCCAGACTCACTGTGGTCTAGAAGAGGATGTGGGCTCCAGGTGGGCACGCTCCCTTGGCATATGAACTTTGCTCAGTGGAGTGGGATGCAGCCAGAGGACCGCCCAAGTGGGGTGCTCTAAAGTGTAGGGCCCAGGACAGTTGCCCAGATCTTAGAGTGACACTCACTCAGGGTATATGAGATCAGAGTCAAGAATATTAGGGCGGTTTTAGTTAGACAGTGCTTTCTGCATTAGCAACAAATACAGTTTTCCATTAGGTGCTATTTTGTACTCTGCTACAATTTACATAAAGCCAAAGATTCAGCCATAATTGCCTGGGGTTCAAAAGTAAGAGAAATCTTGGCTCTTTATTTTCTGACATGATCTAAGGAATCTGACAGAATATTTCCAGCTAAAATGCTGTTATCTCCTTTGTTTACACTCATCCTTGTCACCAAAAGCTATGCTTATGAAACAACTGCTCCAACAGGGTCCCATTTCCCAGAGGTTATTTCGTTAGATTAGAGCTCAGTCTCCAGAGTGTTCCTGCCTAAATATGAACCCTGTAGATCTGGAGCGGGGAGTGTTTGCATATTTCCATCTGCCTAGAAGTGACTGCTGTCCCTAGTCAGTCACGAGCTCTCATTCATTCATTCACACCATTATTATTTATTAACTCTCTATTTTCATGGAGCTAACAAGTAGGAAAAAAAAAATAGATAAATCAAGCAGAAGTTAGGTGCTATAAGAAAATGTCGGGGCCTGAGTGATAAGGGTCCAGCCAGGACCATGGCTGGGAGGGTGCTGGGGAGAGCTTCCTAGGGAGAGGAAAATGTAAACGCAAAGTCCCCGAGACAGGAATCGGTGCGTTTGAGAGACAGAAGAAGAAAAGACATCATATTTGAGTTCCAAAGAAGAAATCCAGAGGTGCAGTTTCAAAGAACGAAGCCCTCAGCCTGGACGTTTTCCCAGTCCCTTTCTCTCCAGCACACTCTGTTTTCTGTAAGGAGGAAAAGCAGCTTGGGCTTCGGTATCTCACTTAAGAGGACAGTGAGGAAGGGCACGGCCATGAGTGGGTCTGTGGGGAACGAAGCAGAGAAGCACATGGAAGAAAAAGGACAGATCCCAAACAAAGGGCAGAATATGTACCATTTGGGTGCTGGGACTCAGAACAAGGGCTCAAGAACTCCTCCTCTCTTGCGTTGTCCCATCAGACAGTCCCGGGCGAGCCAGGATGGCCACTTGGTAGTCATTCACTGCTCCCTTTTATCTGTTCGCTTGTTTAAAGCATGAAGCCAAGATCAAATCCCTGACAGACTACATGCAGAACATGGAGCAGAAGAGGAGGCAGCTGGAAGAGTCCCAAGACTCGCTCAGTGAAGAGCTGGCCAAGCTCCGAGCCCAAGGTGAGTAACTGACCACTTTGCAGGTGTCTGACTCTCAGCCTAAAGCAGACACTCTCTGGTTGGCTGGACTCATGATGTTTAATTTTGCTCGATTAAAGCATTTCTAGGTCTACTGAAAACAATGGCATAATTGGGTGGGGGTGGGGAGGGGAGAGAAACATCTAGAAGACTGCCCCCACCCCATATCTGCTCCTCTTGCCATTTTCCCTCAGTCCACCCTGCTGCCCAAGTCAGAATCCTCTCCCTTCTTTACCTCCTGCGTCCAGTCTGTCCCCAAGGCCTGTCCATTCGACCTGCCAGGGGCTTCTCTGGTTCTGCTCTTCTCCGTCTTCACTGTCGCTGTCCTTAATCCTAGTTAAGAATTGTGGCCACATCCATCTACCGAGGAGCTCATCTCCAGCCTGCTCTAGGCTGACCACTGTGCTGTATTCCAAAGGAGGATTCCAAAATCAAGTTCTACCTCGTGTCCAACCCCAGGCCTCTGACCCTTCCCTGGTGTCCTGTTGCTCTTAGTATAAAGCCTGAACTTGCACCCATGGCTTACCTGCATCCCCCATCCTTTTTTTTTTTTTTTTTTTTTTGCGATACGCGGGCCTCTCACTGTTGTGGCCTCTCCCGTTGCGGAGCACAGGCTCCGGACACGCAGGCCCAGTGGCCATGGCTCACGGGCCCAGCTGCTCCGCGGCATGTGGGATCTTCCCGGACCAGGGCACGAACCCGTGTCCCCTGCATCAGCAGGCAGACCTTCAACCACTGCGCCACCAGGGAAGCCCCATCCCTCATCCTTTGAACAAGCTCTTCCTTTGCCAGGCAGTCTCCTGACCCCCTTTGTTGAGGGAAGTGCCCAACACATAGGAAGCACTCAATAAATGTGAATAAATAGAAGAGATTTGAGAGAAATGACTAGAAATGTAGAAATCAGAACAGGATTAAGAATGTAGGTGTTGTGGTGAAACGGGAACACACAGATCATAGTATGAGTTGCAACGAAAACTGGTAGAGTCCCTTTGGAAAGCATTTTGAAAATACATATTAATAATTCTAACACTTCTCATACCTTTTGTTCCTCAAATCTCATATATTCATTGCAGAATTATTTATATTAGTGAAAAAAAAAAAAGGAAAGGAAGCCACCTAAATGTCCAGGAGTTAAATGAACTATGGTATGTTGTTTAAAAGAACAATTTTTTTCTTCTTGGAGATGAAGGCCATGCAGCAGTGCTTATAATGCATTAGATTAAACATCATAATATGTAATTTTGTCTTTACTGTGGTTATAACATTTAAAAATCAATAGATGCTTATGTTCCAAGACCTGTAAATTAATATTTGAAAGGAAATGGTTTTGATAGGATAATAGGACTGGCGATGATGCTATCCTTTTTAATGTCCTTTATTGTCGTAGAGTCATTTGCCCAGTAAATACATGTTGCTTCAAATGCCAAAGTAAATTAACGATGAAAGAGAGCACACTCACCCCCGCTTTGACCTTGTAAGGTTTTCTTTATGTCATAGGGGGTGTAAGGAACAGAATGCTCCACCCAAAACTTGACATGGAAAAGAACTTTTCCCTCTGGTAAATGGCTTCTGCAGTGGTGCCACTGAGTGGAAATGGAATCAAAGCAAGAAGAGCTGAAATGAAGTGAAACAGACTAGAGAGAATACTTAATGACTTGAATGTCACTGTCCCAAACGCTTTTGCTCCCTCCACCTCGGGCTGTGCTCAGGGAGGGCCACTGACCAAGAATAGGATGGGACTGGTCCCTCCCTCCCAGAGGTGTGCCACGTAACAGCCCTGCCCCCAGTACGAGACGTGGCCTTCCTGTTTAGTCTGGAGGGTCCTTTTATATTTCTATTTTCTTTGTGCCTATCCTTAGGTTGTTTTCCTGCTCCAGATTCTTAGAGAATACCACGGGAGGTAAATTAGCTCTTTCCGAAACTCTAATAGTGGCGCGAATCCAAACACCACTAATATTAGCAGAGCGCGTTATCATTGACAAAGCACGTTTACGTGTGCTGACCAGGAGTAGCTCACCAGGCCTGGCGGGGAACCAGTCCTCCGAGGCGTGAGGTGACAGCTAGGTCAGCTGCAGCGTAACCGCTCCAAGTTAGCACTTCCCCTCCAATCGCCACTGTCCCCGAGGGACTTCGATAATCTCCCAGGAGAGATCAGCCTTGATTTAAAAAGCCAGAAGTCCTCCTTCAGAGGCACGTTCCTTTATACCACGGTTGTAATTGGTTAGATAAGCTGATGTTTCACCCCATTCTTTTTTCGTTTTCTAATTTTTACTTTTGGATGTGAGTCCTGCCAGTTAAATCTTAAATCATCGTTTAAAATCCAAAACAGAAAAAATGCATGAAGTCAGCTTCCAGGATAAAGAAAAGGAACATCTGACCCGGCTGCAGGACGCTGAGGAAATGAAGGTGTGTGTGCAGCCCCTTCCAGAAGCCCAGCCCATGTTTGGACTGGATTTGCTTGATCTAGGAAAATCCAACTCCTTCGGAGATGTGTGTGGCAGGGTAGGAGGGAGGCGGGTGGGGACTGGGGCTGGGCATCAGAGCTGCTCGCAGAGTGTGGCTGGGCTTAGCAATGAGATGGAGGTGGAGGTGTCCAGGAATCCCAAGGTGTCTGTAGATAGTAGTTATGTTGTGTTGGTACATTTCTCTTCCCGTTCATGACGAGGAAGGAGAGGGCACACCTTCCAGTCACTGCATGGGGCCACTCGGCACAACTTCTGCAGGAATGGTCGCCCGAAACAGCCCAAATTTGAGTTTTCATCTTAAACATAGAGATCTTTATTTTTGGTCACATTTTAAACAGAAAAGGAAAAGTGGGAAAGATGATTGGGAAATAAGATTTTTAGGTGGATACAATGAAATAGGAGAAAATGTGGAACTTTTGATTAGCTTTAGGCAAACCCCTCTCCTGGGTCTGCATCACTTTGGTGGAAAGGTCTCCTTTGACTATCACTGTAAATCAGTGCTGTGGGCAGGGCCGGGAAATTATCTACATTTTACGGTGAGGAAGTGCAACTCCCACAGGTTCCATGGCTTGTCTGAGGTCACCCAGGTGGTAAGAGGTCCATGCCCTCTGACCTGGCGAGAGAAGCCGTGTGGCTCAGATGAGCTATAGAAGGTCAGGGGGAGACCCTTTACTCATGGAATGGGCTAATTGGCCCGTAGGGACCACTCAGTTTTATAACAGATCCTTGAGTTTTGTTATCCCTGTAAAGCACGGTGGGTTCTGAGGGCCCCGGTTTGGGGATCTGACAGCTGAGGGATATGGGGTAGGAGACAGCGAACAAAGGCTTTGTCACAGAGCCGGCTGAGAGCCAACGAGCGGCTGATACATTTCTCCCGGCCTGGGTTGCAGAAGGCGCTGGAGCAGCAGATGGAGAGCCACCGGGAAGCTCATCAGAAGCAGCTGTCCAGACTCCGAGATGAAATCGAGGAGAAGCAGAAAATCATCGATGAGATTCGGGAGTGAGTCGGCCTGGGGGCTCGTGGGGCGTTGGGGCAGACACGGCCCCTGGGCCAGCCTGGAGGTCTCTGCTTTCCCCGCCCCATGGACCCTGGGCTCTGCCCTGGTGCCTCAGCGAGCTGGACGTGATGCTTTGCGGTCTGCTCCCCAACTGGAGCCGAGCCTCCGGGGGCTCTGGTGGGCAGGTGGCAGGCGGGTCCAGCTGCCCTGCCTGGTCCCCATGGAGCAGGGGCACGTTGGTGATTCAGCTGGGCAGACACATACCTCAGAAGGTGGGGATGCTGTTCCTATGAGAGGATGAAAAAGACCCCCAAAGACCCTGAATTGCTTCTGATTCAGGGTTTCTGATGGGTTAAGAAATGCTCCAGAGAAGACAGTCAGCTCCCACTGCCTCAGCCCAACACATACCTGAACACTGCACACCCCAGAGACACCTGCTTGCAGGGGCACACTCCTTAGGGACCCGTGCTGTTGTGTGTCTGTCTGTGCTCGAGGGCATTGCAGCTGGGCTCAAGGCCATTCTCCTGTTGTAGCTGCTGAAGAGCCCCCTGCTCAGCAATTATCCCTCCCCACTCCTCTCACTTTCCCGCCTCATCAACACAAGTCCCCAGGCTGTGTTTAGATGCCCCCAATTAAAGACATAAGAAAACCAATTATATTGAAATACACTTCCACCCACTGACACCCTCCTCCCCTGTCTTCCTCCTCCCCGCCACCCCAGGTCCAGACTCAAGGTTCCCTCCTCTCTGTGTCTATAGATGAAGAAACATTTCTAGATGGGAAGCAAGATTCAATGATTTACTTAGGGTCACGCTGCTAAACAAGAATCAAACTGGAGTTGGAGTTTAAATCTCTCTCGATGTCCGTGAGATGCTCACACAGCACATTTGCATTTTAAAAGCAAAAATGTAAATGATGTGTCGGGGCTCTGTGCACAGTCTCCCTAGGAAAGCACTTAGCATCGCCTCTCCCCTTCTTTTGGTCCACCCCCATGCTCCCACTTACGCTGAGCTTTCCCCTTTAAGTGTGACTCTTATTTGTTATGTTGATGAATCACCCTCAGATTGTTCAGCTGGAAGGGGAGGGGGGGGAAGGAAGGTGAGAGAGATGGAGGGTCTCTGAGTCAGTTGACAAGTGGGGCCATTTCCTTGGCCTTTGCGTTTCACATGGGTTTTCCTTCAGAGAGCGTATAATCTGTTGTCTACAGTCATGTAGGCATGGCCGTATGAAAGGTTTTATAAGGACCGGGCTGATATAAATGGTGACCAAATACCCCCAACTCGATGGTGAGTTTCTTTTTTGCAACAGCCCCTGGACTTTCTTTGCGTTTCCCCTCTCTGCCCACTGCCCCCTTTCGCCCCCAAGACTTCACAGAACAGAACTGTCCCTGTGTCAGCCAGGGATTTGGATTTAGGGGATGTTTTTGGAGCGTCAGACCAGAGAGGAAGGGAAGGTCAAAGTGGCCAAATAAGGTTCTGGGAGTGCGTAGGTACCATCTGTAGGGCAGAAAAGCAGAACTCTTACTGGGCTCTGTTTTTCTGTTTTAAAATATCGGCCCCTTTCCCATCTCATTATTTTCCCTCCCAGAGCTCTTGCACAAGCCAACTATAAATACATTATTAAAGCCTTATGTTTCATGCCTCTTAGATGTTCCCAGAAATTTCATTTTCACTTGGGCAGGGAGGAAGCTGTGAGGTTGTTCTCTGATCCCTCCAAATCTTCCAGAATTGCCGCCTTTATTGCACAGGGCTAATGGGGTTAGAACAGAACCACGTCTTTAGCAGCATGACTCAGAATTTCAGGCTGATGTGGAATGTATTGCTTTTTCCTCTCCATTTCAGTTTGAATCAGAAACTGCAACTGGAACAGGAGAAGCTCAGTTCTGATTATAACAAGCTGAAAATAGAGGACCAAGAGAGAGAAATGAAACTGGAAAAGCTCTTGTGAGTGTGCTTTAAATATTTCCTCTGTTTTCTCTCATCCTCCCGAAGTTTTTTTTTTTTTGCCAACTGCACGGCACGCGGGATCTTAGTTCCCTGACCAAGGACCAGGGACCGGACCCATGCCCTCTGCAGTGGAAGCGCAGAGTCTTAACCACTGGACTGCCAGGGAAGTCCCCCCACCACCCTGCAAAGTCTTAAAAAGTCTACTTTGGTGATTCAGATACCCAAATATTCAGGTTAGGTCAGGCCAATTTAAAAACAGACCGTGGCCATTTGGGTGAGTTGGTTTGTTTTGTTGACTTATCTGCAGATGCAAATGGTATCTGTAAGAATCTCTGATGCCCCTTTGGTTGTTCACAGTTCCTTTCTGTTTTTTAGATTGCTCAATGATAAAAGAGAACAAGCCAGAGAGGACCTCAAAGGGCTGGAGGAGACAGTGGTATGTTGATGTGTTTCCCAACTCATTTTAGTCTCAAAGACCAGATTGGTTTATGATCTTTTGAATTTGTTTCTTCTAAAATTTTATTTGTGCATGCCTTTCTTGAATATCATTTTAAACATAAAACTTCCTATGGAAACATGAGAGCTGTAGAATTTATTCCCCTGGTCTTAACAGAGTGAATAACCATCTATCCATCCATCCATCCATCCATCCATCCATCCTTAAGACTGTAACCATGGAGTCCTGACTGAGATTTAAACTCAAATCAGTGCCTGCAATTTTACAGCCTCTTTATGTTGTGACTTACTTCCATGCAACAATCAGTGGATATTTATTGATCACCTGCTGAGGGCTGGCATGCTTTTAGGTGCTTGAGTTGCATCAGTACAAAACAGAGTTAAGATGCTGGCCCTTGTGAAGCCGTCTTTCACCTGGGGGAGACAGACAGTGAGAAATAAGGATGTAGATCATGACCTCCATTAGATGGTTATAGAAAGTGCAGGGGTACTGGTTTGGGGTGGCCCCACTGGGAGGTGACATTTAAGCAGGAACTTGAAGCAGGTAAAAGAAGGAGCCATGGGGATGTCCGGGGGGAGGAGCCTTCCAGGAGAGGCAACAGCCAGTGCCAAGGCCCTGAGGTCAGCCCATGGCAGGCATGTTGGGGTACAACAGGGAGATCAATGTGTATGTGACCAAGAGAAGGGGGGAAGGCAGGAGGTAGGCACAGAGAGGTCAAGGCCAGAGGAGGTGCAGGCCAGGCAGGGCCTTGGGACCTGCAGGGGTTGGGGCAGAAGAGTGACAGATCTACTTCCCTTTGGAAGAAGGGCTCACCATCTGAGATCCTGGTTAGTTTTCTCTGTGCTTTCATTGGGTTTGTCTCCTCTGGTCAACTTCTGTCTCAGTTGCCCTGGGGGGTAGCTGCCTGGCTCTGAGGGCTCTCAAGAGCCCTTCAAAATGCCACGCAGCCTGTGTTTGAAGACAGACACCCCAAATAGTCTCAATTTGGTGAAAACACGTCGAGTCATTTCACATGACATGACAACAGAGAGAAACTGTTGTTTAGATACAGTCATGCATTTTGATTTCATTCCCACGTCATGGGAATCTATGTGGGACTGAGCCTGAATCCAGGAACTCGGTGACCCCAGACTGGAGGCAAGCGGTTGATCAGGGCTGGACCCGAGGCTGCACTCTGGCCGCTGGGCCAGTGTTAGCTGCTCCTCAAAGCCAGGTGTGGGCTGGGAGGGCACAAGCCGTTCAGGACAGAAGTAGGATGACTGTTCACAGGAAGTTGGGCCTTTTGAGCCTGGTGGAGAAGACGGTGGACAGGGCGGCTGGAGGGGAAACGGAAATGAAGCCATGAAGTTGCTTCCTCCACATCTATTCTCCTGGAGAAGTGGTACCCATAATCATAGATAGTTATAACAATTCAGAAATGTATTGCACGTTAAAATGTCACTGTATTCCCACCAGCCAGAGATCAATATTTCAGTATCTTTTCTTCCTTTACACCCTCGCACTCTCTCATGCACACTCACGCAGCACACACACCTTCCATGCCCACACCCAGAAGCTCACTCTTCACCCCTCTCTCTCTCACGGCCTCACCCACGCTCGGGCACAATCACTTATTCTTTCTCACACACACATCTTCACACACACTCACACCCACAGGCCCTCACATTCACATTCTCATGCCCGTGTTCATCCACTCACAAATTCTTACACACTCACCCAGCACACCCCATAACATGCTGACACACACATTCACACTCATTAGTGACCATCCACACTTCCTCACTGGCACACTCACACTTTTGCTCATTCACTCTCACACCTTCCATCATGTCCACTCACACACACTCACCCCACGTGCTGACTCTCTCCCAGACTCACAAGCTTTCTGTCTTTCACACTCACTCATGAGCATGTTCTTTTGACCTTTTGAATGTTTTTTTGTTTTGTTTTGTTTTGGCCTCACTGAGCGGCTTGTGGGATCTTAGTTCCCTGACCAGGGATCGAACCCATGCCCCCTGCAGTGGAAGCACAGAGCCCTAATCACTGGACCTCCAGGGAAGTCCACTGAATACATGTTTATTTATTTATTTATTTATATTTTTGGCTGTGTTGGGTCTTCGTTGCTGCACGCAGATTTCTCTAGTTGCAGCGAGCGGGGGCCACTCCTCGCCGCAGTGCACAGGCTTCTCGTTGCGGTGCCTCTCTTGTTGTGGAGCACGGGCTCCAGGCACACAGGCTTCAGCAGTTGTGGCACACAGGCTCTAGAGTGCAGGCTCAGTAGTTGTGGCTCACAGACCTAGTTGCTCCACGGCATGTGGGATCTTCCCGGACCAGGGCTTGAACCCGTGTCCCCTGCACTGGCAGGCAGATTCTTAACCGCTGCGCCACCAGGGAAGTCCACTGAATACATTTTTAACAACACATTTTCCTCACTAGCCTCCTCCACTGGTTCCCCTTCCCCCACCTCCCTGCCCAGCCCACTCACCTATGTTCCCACCCTCACATCCATTCTCCCCAGCCCCCCTACCACACACACATGCTCACACAACACACTTGGTCCCTCACACGTGGACGGACCCACTGACACAGCCTCCCACGTTCCCTCTGCAGCCCTCACTGCCCGTCCACACACATCACGCACACACACGCTTTCAATTCCCAAACTGGAACCCCACGGTCTGTGCCATTCCAGATGTGGGTGTTTTTACTTATCCTTCCATCACATCCTCCCCAAGCTGTCAGTGTTCCTCAGGGGCCTGCTGTCCTTGGCTGACCCTTCCTGAGCCCCCCTTAGCCCTAGGCCTGCGCTGCCTCCTGGACTGTCTGGACAGGCCCGGGTGGGACCTGCCACCCAGGGGTTGTAGTCTGAAGCCCACTCCAGGGTACGATGTTGGGAAAGGCCAACCAGCCAGTGGGGACGTCTCTGGGGTCCCGGGAAGCCATCTGGCTTTAATAGGACACTTTGTGTGGGCTCTGGGGCTGGACCTCTCCTGCTGCGTTGATGGGCCTTGTGTCCCCACCTCTCTGGTCACACCCTCGCTGTCCCCCGTGACAGGAAGCTGAGCCCTGGGCTTTTACACAGAGGGCAGCGTCCGTGCCAGGAAAGGCTTGTGACTGACTTCACAAGGGAAGGGAATCGGGGTGGGTGAAGGAATGCTAATGGATACGATGGAGGAAAATTGATTGCCCCAGGAGGCCAAAATGGGGTTACGCAGGCATTCATGTGCAACTTATCAACTGTTTCCAAGGCCTTGAACTGCCCCTCCTAAACTGTTTCTTGAAGTTACCTAAAAACAAACAGTAAGGAGAGAAAGTCGCCAAACTCCGGACTCTGGATTATTTGGTGCTTGGCCTGGAAGAATCGCCTGGCCCTTTGACAAGACACCCGGGTCTTCTCTTCTCATGTCCCTGCAGGGTGGTGGCGTTTTTCATGGAAAGTATTTACTGTGATCATAGTTCAATCAGTAATGAAATCCCTGAAGCGGGAGAGAGAGCTCGCAGAGCAGGGGGCCGAGGCCGAGCTCCCTCGGGCAGGGGCACAGGCAGCACAGCTACATCACTGAGAGCTCAGAGCAGCCCCCCTGCACCTGCCGGCCGGTGGCTCAGCTCTGGGCACGCACCGCGTGCACGGCGTTCCTAACAGCAGGCCCGCTTGGCCTCCCGCAGAAAGTAATTTGCCTCATCTGAGGAATCAATTGACTTCAGGTGCTTTTTATTTCAACTCAATTATGGAATTGGACCCAGTAATTTGACCTTAAATGAACATAGAACCTTTATTCAAGAAACTTATTATTTCCATGTCTTTAGAGCCTGTTTCTTCCTTTTTTCTGTGAGCTGTGTGAGCTCCATCCCTTGACATTCTGTGTTAGGTCAATTTAGACAAACTGAAAAACAAATGTGAGTGTATTTCTCTCCTTATGGGAAAATATTTTTAAGGGAACTAGTCGTACGTCCTGTGGTAAATACACGGAGACTTAAAGGGAAGGAAATATTTCGGTTTTCTGATTTTGTTAAACAGAGGTCACCAGATTTGACTTAGACCTTTGTCTTAGCAATCTAATTCCTATGGGTTCATTAGTAGAAAAGACTCCAAAATGAAGAAAAAAAATGCTCCCAAGAAGTTAATTTCATGAAAGTCATAACAACAACCAAAGGAAGCAATAAAAGTCTAATGAAGAAATGTCTGTCAAATATGATGCATCAGTACATTAATACTAGCGAATATTTATTGAATGTTTACTATGTGCCAGAAATGGTTGTAAGAGTTTCATAAGGATCATCTCACTGAAGCTTGATAACAGCAACTATGAGACAGCTACTATTTTTATCCTCATGTTACAAATAAGAAAGCTGAGGCACAGAAAGGTTAGATAAGTTGCCCAGGGTCACCCAGGTGGAAAGTCCATAAGCTCAGTGATGTAAAGCAAAGGAGCATATGGACCACGGCCAGAGGGGTGTGGAAACGTGAAAAATGTCGGTCAGTTAGGGTGGGAGAAACTGTGGCTAACTTTTCGTTTAAATTTGTTAGCATTTTGTATAACATGTACACCATAAGTTAGAGGGGAAAAGGAGTCCATTCTGGTACAACACAGCCCTCCAGGAATTTTTATGAGAAAACTTTTGAATTTTTGTGGTTGAACGGGAAAAAAGGTTCTATTTAAAACACAGCAAACGAGCAGGCTTTGTTCTAGTTTACGCTTCATTGTTTGAGTTCCCAGTCTCTGAACCTTGGGGTGCCCGTGGGAAGATGCCAGGTGGAGGAGGATATGAGTGGTGGGCAGGTCAGAGGAAGTGGTGAGCCCCATGGCCTCGATGGTTGGCTTACAGAGCTTTATGGAGCTGTCTGGGGTTGATGGTCTGGTGCCAGCTGTGTCGTAAATTCAGCGTGTTCCCTCATTTAAGTGGCATTTTAACAATCTTCTCTTCCAGTCTCGAGAGCTACAGACTCTGCACAACCTCCGTAAACTCTTCGTCCAGGATCTGACCGCCCGGGTTAAAAAAGTGAGTTCTAGTTTGTGTGAATGGGACTGAGAAGAAAAGTTGGCCAGAACGAATCATTTTCAGTTGAAGTATCACTTGCTTAAATCGGGGCTGGTTATGCTTAAAAATTAATTACTTCATGCCAGAGAATGTGATTAAAAGAATGTGCTGGAGGGGGAAAAATACTTGGGAACATTTTTCCTTCTTAGTACAAGGAAGTTATTGGGTTGGCCAGAGAAGTTCATTAGGGTTTTTCCCGTAACATTTTATGGAAAAACCCGAGCGAACTTTTTGGGCCAACCCAATATCCTTTCAAACGAACGCATATTTATCTGGCCACAGTGTGAAAACCTCTGAGCGTTGCAGGGAAAACCCAGAGGGGTCTCATCAGACAGCGTGGCCCTGAAGCCTGGTGAACGATGTCAGGAACGTGGAAGTCAGGGGCTAGAGCCTCATCTTTGCTTGTTAAGAGGCCATGAGGGGCCAGGTCAGAGTGTACGAAGCACTTTAACATCCGGCGTCTTGTTTGCTCTCCCCAGGAGCCATGTAAGTGGTTCTTAGTGTTCTGTTTTGCAGCTGTGGAGGTGGGCTCAGAGGTTACGTGACCTCCCGAGATCACGCAGCTGGGGAGAGCCAGAGATGGGATTGTAATCCAGGTCTGTGTGACCCCAGAGTCTGAGCTTCTTTGGTCCTTGTGCCACACACAGGGACAGTGATCTTGGGAGTCACTGAACGGTGAACCCCCAGAGCAGCTAGCAGAGGTTTTGGGAGGGGGGAGGGGGAGGGGGAACAGCAAGGGGGCTATGCTTTAAAGATATTTGAAACTGATGGATGAGGGGCAGTGGGCGTGCCCAGAGGTGTGACAGGATGGACGGAAGGTATATTTAAGAAAAGTGTGTGCATGGGGGTCTGTGTGAAGGAGCCAAGGAAAAGGGATGAAATATATTATAAAAAAAAAGAGGAGGTGACTGATGGAGTCGGATCTGAGAAGACAGAATTGATGGTATAGGGGAATGTATTAGGCTTGGTAGATGGAAAGGGCCCACTTTCCCAGAGAGGAGACGTGGAGAAGCCAAGATGGAGACATTCGTAGGGAAATATATGACACTGGGAAGAGATGCATCTGAAGACTTTGACCTTCTCAGTTAATGTGGAGAAGAAGGTGCTCAATGGAGAAGAAAGAAGAGAATGGGAAGCCCACAGAGACTAGAGGCGGCCCAGGCAGCTGTGGGGGATTTGCTGGGGACGAACAAAAGGATGCTGAGCAGTGTGGGAGCGTCCAGCTGAGGGTCAGAGCACGGATTTGTCGTGGCACCTGACAGCACGATTCTAGTGAGCTTGGAGGCCTGGAAATAAAAACAAGGAAAGAGGGTGGAGAATGATGGGAGGTTTCAAGGTGGCACTGGTCAGGCAGGTAGGTAGTGATCACCGTCATCAAAATAGAAATGACTGGAGGACCTGGACCAGGGAGGAGAGAGAGGCCAGAGCAGAGGTGATGGAGACAGAGACTAGAGAGGTTATGACAAGAACCAAAAAGGCTCAGTTGGAGGGAGGAGGTGTTCCGAGGAGGGTGCAGAGCTTGAGATCAGACTTCCCTGACTTCACGATATAAAACTCTCTAGGAAGAGCCTATTCCTAGACCAGTGGTTCTCAAAGTGTGGCCACCTGGCTAGCAGCACTGACGTCACCTGGGAACTTGCTAGAGGTGCAAATTCTCAGACCCACCCTGGATCCACTGACTCAGAGATGAGGGTAGGGCCCAGCAATCTGAGTTTTAACAAATCCTCTTCCGGGTTTGAGAACCCCGGATTTAGATCAAAGAGACAGGTTTGAGATGCTCATATAGACATCACGTCTCAGAAAGAGAAGGGTGATGATCTCTTCTATAATGAGACAAAGCAAGCGTGCTTCGCCATTTTGGGACTCCAGGATGTGTTTCTACATGTATTTCCCAACTTATCTGGCCACTCAGTGTGGCAGTGCTGGGAGAACAGTGTTTTTATCAATCTCAAGACCTGATAAATTTCGAGAGTTGATCCAGCACAGCGCGCAGATGCCAGGACTAGTCTGAGATGGATTCATTAAGTAATTTCATGGAATTGGAAGCTGAAGGGACAAGCAGAGGCCATTGAGACTTCCCAGTGGGACCACAGACACTTTCCCACAGCTTGATGACTTGTTATCTCACTTGTGATGTTTGAAATGAAACTTGGGTCTTGGGCTTATGTTGTTTCTTTTTTTAACATCTTTATTGGAGTATAATTGCTTTACATTGTTGTGTTAGTCGCTGCTGTATAACAGAGTGAATCAGCTATACGTATACATATATCCCCATATCCCCTCCCTCTTGCATCTCCCTCCCCCCCACCCTCCCTATCCCACCCCTCTAGGTGGTCACAAAGCACGGAGCTGATCTCCCTGCGCTATGCATCTGCTTCTCACTAGCTATCGGTTTTACATTTGGTAGTATATGTATGTCCATGCCACTCTTTCACTTCATCCCAGCTTCCCCTTCCCCCTCCCCGTGTCCTCAAGTCCATTCTCTACATCTGTGTCTTTATTCCTGTCCTGTTGGGCTTATGTTTTCACACTAGTTCTTCTTAATGAGTTTTGGAACACTTCCTTTTGAAAAGAAAAGCCTCTACCTGCGTGCAAGGGAGAGGTATATTTCACAACGAGAGCTGAATCCCTCAAAAAAAGATTTGAAGTTTTTCTGTCAGCTGTCCAAAGAAAGAACACTTTTGATACCGATCAAGGAAATTAATGGGGAAGAAGGTCGAGTCTAAACTTTTAGAACCACTCTTCAGGTTCACTTTCAGAATAACCTGTAGTAAGATTGGGGGTTTTCTTTCGAATGGCTCATCCACGTGATGCTGGGACTGGGGGTGGGCAGTGTGGAGGCCTGTCCCGCTGACCCCTTGGTGTTGATGCAGAGTGTAGAGCTGGACAGCGACGAGGGAGGAGGCAGTGCTGCCCAGAAGCAGAAAATTTCCTTCCTGGAGAATAACCTGGAGCAGCTCACTAAGGTCCACAAACAGGTAGGAGGGTTCCGTCATCTTCCTCCTGCTTCTCTTTCTCTCCTGGAGAGAAGCCCCGCTGGATTCAGCCCTAGTGAGGGAGGTGACTCTGATACAGAAGGTAAAAGGACAGTACATCACTAGGGAACATCCGTGCTGGAAGGGACCTGGCGCTCTTTTAGTCTTCAGTGACTTCCCTTGTATAGAAAATACCTTTTTTTTTTTTTTTTAATTTTATTTTTTGGTCGTGCCGCCTGGCACGCGGGATCTTAGTTCCCCAGCCAAGGATCGAACCCGCACCCCCTGCAGTGGAAACGCAGAGTCTTAACCACTGGACCACCAGGGAAGTCCTAAAATACTTTCCTGATGGAAGCCAAATATAAGGAATTGAGTGTGAGCTCTCTGGGGCTTGGGGAGCAGGGTGTTCAGTCGTGTCTTTTCATCCTGCCTCCCATCCCAGCCTCCAACCCCAGCTGGCCTCAGTGTCTCCCGTGATGCTTTTCAGGACCCTCTGTGGACCCAAAGACTCCACAGAATGCAAAGTGGATGCCAGCGAGCTGGGTCAGGCTCCCTCTTTTTATAGATGAGGAAACAGACTGGGCGAGGAAGCCACTGGCTTCATCCCACACGTGGGAGCACTGGGGCCGGAACCAGCCCCCTCTCTGCACTGTCACCCTATTTCTTGGGCATCCTCTCAGGTTCCTGCAACACCCTGGAGTTTGTCTAGAGTGACAGAGTGACAGTGTCCAAACCTACCGGTGACTTAGGCAGGTTATTTGTCTCCTTTCTGTTTAAATGCTGGAAGGTTCCTGACGGTTTTCCCTAAATCCTCAAGATCTTGGATCTGATAAAAATGGTCCAACATTTTGGACCCCGTGGCCCAGGGGATGTCATTTCTCTTTGACTTATTACATCCTCTTCAACATTACTGATGATGGCATTTTTCCCCAAAGGGAGGATGACAGATTCAACATGGTTGAAGTCATTCAAGCAAATTGTTGATGAGAAATAGAAAAGCAGAAACTACCAGGGAACTTGAAATAGAGCTCTGAAATTCATTAATTATTTTATTCATGAATTCAATGAATATTTATTAAAAACTTACTCTCTGCCGGGCACTGGAGCTGGTGCTGGGTGCGGGGGACACAGGAGTAAAGAAAACAGGTGTAGACCCAGCAGTAGTTCAACCTTTGTTTAGCACTTAAGATTCTCAAAACTTTTCCTGATCCATTTGGATTCCCACAGTGATCCTATGTATGTAGCTTGTAGACTTAGAGTGGTTGAGTGACGCCCACCTGGTCAGACGGCCAGGCAGTAACAGATACGGCTCTTGAGCCCATTCTTAACCCAGGGTGAGCTTGTTCCTTCTTAACTGAGCGTCTTAGGTAATGAAAGAATGAGCAGTATCCCTGAGTTACCCGTTAGCCTCTGGATATGTTGCAACGTGGGGTCCAGACCCGGTGCTGGTGTAGACGGTGTGTCCTGGCTTGGAAGGAGGCCTTCAGAGAGCTCTAGAACATGAATGCCTTTCAGTGAGCATGTCTGAACTGGCTTCACATTTCTTATCTTTCACATGCCAATGTCCAAGTAGTCAGTTTTCTCTGGCAAGTCCCCCCCTCACCCCTCAAACAAAAGAGGCAGTAAATCCCACCCACGCCTGAAAGTTTCCTACAGCTGGAAATGGCTTTTGATTCTATCGCACACCCCTCCCCGCTTTCTCGTACCCGTGAATCCTGTGTTTGGCAAATTGGAGCCTCAGGGTATGGGAGTTTTATTCCCGTTGGTCCCACCGTTTATGGTCTTACAGACCCTCCAAGACGGCCCTGGTGGGGCGCGTGGGTGGTGGTTCTAGCTGCTCTCCTGTCACCTTCTCAGCCCCCGCAGTGCGTCTGCCCAGCCCCCCCGCCCCGTAACTCCCCACCTCCTCCTCCCGCCGCAGCTGGTCCGGGACAACGCAGACCTGCGCTGTGAGCTGCCCAAGCTGGAGAAGCGCCTGCGTGCCACGGCCGAGCGCGTCAAGGCACTGGAGAGCGCGCTGAAGGAGGCCAAGGAGAACGCCATGCGGGACCGCAAGCGCTACCAGCAGGAGGTGGACCGCATCAAGGAGGCTGTGCGAGCCAAGAACATGGCCAGGAGGGCCCACTCGGCCCAGATCGGTACGTGTGCCCGCACCTGGGCCCTTGACAGAAGGCGAGGGCTCCTCTGGGTGGAAGCTCTGGGCGGGGCGGCCCGGCTCCTCCCGGCACCCAGCGTCCATCCTGGGAGGATGGGATGGCCAGGCGTGCGCTTCCTTACACAGAGAGATTCTGGGGGACCTTGTGATCGTCAAAGCTATTGAGCTGAGCAGAGAAGGCGGCCAGCCCTGGCTTCAGGCGGAGGTGTTTGGCTGTAAACAGACAGAGGTATATTTTCTCCGGAATACCGGAATATATGGCTTGCTCAGGAAAGCCCGAAGGCCCCTTCTGTTCTGCACCCGGCGGAACCATGAAGGAGCTACGTGTAGCCAGAAGCCTCAGGGAGAGCTGCCTGCAAGCGCAGCCTTGGAAATACTCTGGAGAGAGCCAGGCCTGGCATCAGTGAGTGCAGGGGGCCTGGCCATCCAGCCCCTTCAAGACCTGGATTTGGACCCATGCAAAGAATGAGGGTGTGCCTGTTGAGTCATAGTTCTTGGGATAATGCGGTGACAGTAGAAGGGATTTAAGGATGTTCTCTAGAGCGCTTCTTTCTTTCTTTTCTTTTCTTTTCTTTTTATTTTTTCAATGGAAACATCTCCAATAACATGTAATATTATTTCTCATCAGATATTGCTGTGCAGATGTTATGTAAACCAGCAACTTCACGTTTCTAGTTTTAAGATCATAACTGACATTAGTGGTTCATTGCATTTATTGGGTCTTATACCCTGGGACTATCTTACTGAAAACTGTGAACCCTCTCCCCCTAAAATGCATCACAGACAGAGTTCTGCATCCAGTTTCAGGGAGATACTGTTGGAACCCAGTGGGACCCACGGATCTGCCTCAGATAAAACTGAAAGTCCTCTGTTTCTAATTTTCCTTGATAAGAATTGAAATAATTGATACACAAGGTCTCTTTGTCCCCTACACACTGGGTGCCTTGGATTAACTGCACTAATCGGAGGGCAAACGTCCCACTTTCAGAAAGATCTGGTGATCGATAAGAATTGTCATGTCGATAAAAAGTGTGCCTCTTGGTTTTCGCACGTGACCTGGAGGTATCTCGGCGCGGCTGTTTAAGTCCTTTCTGAACGTCTCTTCTCTCTTTTCTGTCGGTTGGATACAGCCAAGCCCATCCGCCCTGGACACTACCCAGCATCGTCTCCAACGGCCGTCCACGCCATCCGAGGGGGAGGAGGCAGCTCTTCAAACTCCACTCACTACCAGAAATAAACACGAAGTGAGTCCTTAGTGTCAGGGGTGGCTTCCGTCCGGGGCAGCCCTGGGGCTCTCCCTGCTTCTGCCTGGCTCTCAGCCATGTGTGTGTGGACCTGCAGTGGAGAGGAAAGGGTGCAGCTCTACCCCAGCACAGGCCCTGGGGCTTCAGGTTATCAGGGGCCTGGGTCTACCTTCAGCTCAGTCTAGGACCTCAGGGTCTCCCAGCTAAGGTCACCTGGTGCCAGGGACCCTCCAGGGACGGGCAGGGGTGCGGTGAATGAATCATCCGAGCTTTCTTTTGTCTGCGGGACTCCCCTCTGTAGCTGGCATCCAGAAGGGCATTACCTGTCTGTCAACTGCTTTTACCCAGAGCAGGCAGGTGTGGGTGCCTGCTTTAAGTCTCAGGAACTGGATATAAAGAAAGAGCCAGATAATAGAAAGTCACTTTTTTTTTTTTTTGCGGTACGCGGGCCTCTCACTGCTGTGGCCTCTCCCGTTGCGGAGCACAGGCTCCGGACGCGCAGGCTCAGTGGCCATGGCTCACGGGCCCAGCCGCTCCGCGGCATGTGGGATCTTCCCGGACCGGGGCACGAACCCGTGTCCCCTGCATCGGCAGGCAGACCCTCAACCGCTGTGCCACCAGGGAAGCCCTAGAAAGTCACATTTTTATAATTACTATCTGAACGCAACAAATGGAGTCTTTAAGAATTGTGCAGATTTATGTCTAGGTGGGTCCAGACCACTCTTTGCTTTGAGATGGCGGTCTGAAAACTTCTCTTCCCACACTCCACATGCCTGACATTGCTGTACCAGCACAAGGGAAGAAGTGATGTCCTTTTAGAAAAGAGAAGGAGAGAGCACAAGCCTGTCCTCTTGTACTTGAGATAAAGAGTTTACTGGTTGGGCAGGGCAGACAGCTAGGTGGCCAGAAAACTCTGTTTAGAGAAACTCTGACTTCGGGCCAGTAACCCGTAGATGGGAGGAGGTGGATCCTAACGTTGACCTTGGAGTGTTCGTCCTCACTAGGAAAGCTTGCGAGCTTGACAGCAAAGCCGCAGCAATCAGGGGCACCTCAGGAGAGCGGTGGTTCCTCACCCAGTCCTTTTTGCATCCAGGTAAGGAAAGTGAATATGAGGGGCTGGAGACTCCGCTCAGGGGGTACGACGATATTGCTAAGGCTCAGACTGAAACTTCCGCGGAGGAAGCTTGGCGGCTGCACCCAGATGACTTTCACCTGCCCTGCCCCAGGCAGCATGTCGAGGAGCGGGACAGGTCGAGGCAGGCCGCTGGCGGGCAGCGTGCCCGCCACCTTCTGCCGTATCCTGGGAGGGTGGATGCAGAATTATCTTGGCTGTGGGCCACCCTGTTCAGATGCGATCTCTGCTTTCAATCAGAAATAAAGTGAAGCTGGATGTTGTAAAATTGCTTCTGACCGCACGTTATCAGTGTCGGGGATGACGCTTGAAGGGAACTGTAAGAACAAATTGGGCCGCTTAGAACAGAAAGCCTAAAGCAGTGGTTCTCGAACTTTGGCGGGTGTCAGCATCATCTAGCACCCCCAGACACCCAGGCTGCTTGAAGGAGCATAGGCCCAGAGCCTTTGTATCTTTACCAAGTACCCCAGGGGATTTTGCTAGCCACCTAAGTTTGAGACCTGCTAGCCTAAAATATCCTAAAGTGGCTGATACGGGATGGACGTTTATTTCTTTGTCACGTAAAGGACATTTGAGGGTGGTCTGTCAGTGACTGGTAGAAAAACTCTACAGGGACAACAGAAAGCTATAGCCTCTTAAATTTAGACTCACTGTCCTCAGCAAGTACCTTCCTTGCTGGTCTCCTAAATGACTTCCTCAAGCTCGCCTAAATGACTTCTGCAGTTCTAGCTATCGTGCCTGTGTTGTGTGTTCAGCAAGCAGAGAGGAGGCTGGGGAGAGGCAAAAGCAACTCTTACAGTCGAATGAGCTTCCTTTCAGTAGCCTCCCCGGAAGTCCCATCCAACTCTGATGCCTGCATCCCTCTGGCCAGAGTTGAAACACGCGGCCACATCTAGCTTCAAGGGAGGCTGGAGAAGGTCGTCTTTAGCTGGGCACATCACCACCCCAAACAAGAGTAGGGTTCTATTGCCTGGGACAAGGAGATGGAGGTTGGGTGGGCAACCAGCACTACTTGTTGAACACCTGATCTGCAGCGGCACTGTGCTAGACGTAATATCTACATCACCCCGTTTGATGGGAGCACCGGGTTAGTGTGTGCCCTTGGCTCCCAGGAAGCTTTTAATGACTATACCGGCCCAGGGATTGCAGGGTCAGAGACTGCAGTGGACAGTCCCTCTCCTCGTGCATGCCCATAAATGCCTATCAGACCCACGTTTTATGGAGGGTGTGTACAACCAGATGTTGGCTAGGCCTCACCCGTATATCCCCTTCTCACTCTGAAGACCGAAAATCAATAGGTCTGGTGAGACTTTGAAGACCTTCAGCGTATAGAACCACCCTCACCTGTCATGGCCGTTCTTTCTCTAACTCAAAGTGTTTTGAGTGGTTTTGATGATTTTATCTGAAATTGGAACCTCCACCACCCACCTTATCTATTCAAATGACTCCTGTAACTGCATGTTTCCCTCACAGTGTCACCAAACAAACAGGCCCCATCCAGGTGTCGCTATGGTGATAGGGTCAAAGGGCCTGACTTTGGACGAGCGACCCGGGTCAGGTGTCAGGTCTTCCACTGCCTTCGAGTTACTTAACCTTACTGTCAGTTTCCTTGTCTGTGAAATAGGGAGAATCCTTTCCCTGGGCCACGGGCATTGATTTGAGGACTAAATGAGGTCATACTTCTGAGCTGCTTGGCACATAACAAGTGCTCAAGAAAATGTCAGCTGTAGGAGAGGCTAGCACTGCAAGCCTGGCACACAGTAGGTGGTCCATGAATGTTGGTTTATATTCTCTTCTAATTCTCATAGTTGTTACAAAATAGTTTTTAGTCTGTAGCAATTGATCATAACCACGGCAGGGAAGGCCCATGTCTGAGTATCCTGTTTGGTGCTATGACCAGATATAAGGGGTTTTAAAGATACTATCATTTATTTATCCAAAAGTTATGAACAGCAACATTGACTATTTTTATGAAAATAACTGGGCATTGGTCAGTGGAGGTTAAAAAAAGGATGATAACCAATGGAGTAGGGAATTATAATTGGAAGTGAGGGAATGCTTATTAAAAAATAAGCTTATTAAAAAAATTGAAAATATGGAATTAATCACTTAGATGAGATCTAATTAATTAATTAGCAATTAATTGCTTTTTGAGATGATCTTTCCTGCTCTTTGGATTCTCGTTCTGAAGTGTGTCTGTCCTGTAGAAATGATCTCAACTGCTGACTCTTCCCAGCCCTCCTTTTGGAGCCAGAGCGGCACATTCATACTTGGGCAGCATCTGGGTACCTTTGGGATTTATTTCTGCTTCATTTAGGATTCAAGGAATATAGTCACAATGAGTCTTTCAATTTATGCCCAAAGTTTCAGAGCAACCGAGGATGCCAACATACAGAAATCAAAAGAACCCAGGACAATGCCAGCTTTTATCTCATCTCATTCAAATCTGGGGGCGTGGGCTGCGTCAGGAGGAGGGGCCCATCTTTTTCTACCCCCAAAGCTGGACATGGGGCAGTACAGTGCAGTAAGCTGACGACACGGGATATGGGGTTGGCCAGATGTGGCCTTGGCTCTATTCCTGTGTGACATTGGGCAAATTGCTTGATTATTTTTAGCCTCAGTTTCTTCATCCGCCAAATGGGATCAGGCATTTTGTACTTGCTCTGTACTTGGTTTAACAGTAAAGAGACAAAGAAGGCTCTGTTCTTGTGTACTGACACGCTGTCGGGGGGAGATAGACAGCAAATAAAGACGGTAACTGCAAATAGTGTTAAGTGTTCTGAAGAAAATAAGAACAGGTTAATGAAATAGAGATGAGGGACACTTATTTAGAAGAGGGGGTGACATTTGAGCTGAGAACTAAATGATGAGAAATGCCAGCCCCGCAATGACATGGGCACAGACACTCGCTGGAAGGTGGGTCCAGACTGTGGCATATTTGAGGAACCACAGGAAGGCTGATAAGGCTGGAGAACAGGGGAGACCATTAAAACTAGGAATGTTGGGGAGGGAGATGGGACCAGATAAATGAGGGCTTTGAGGCCGAGGTGAGCAGTTTAGAGTGTAAGCTAGGCGTGTAGGGCCAGTGGGGACTTTGGGCATGGGAGTGCTGGAACTCAGTTCATGATGAGGAGAGGTTTGCCTGGGCTGGACTCTGGAGGAAGGAGGGGGGTGGGGTGAGTGTAAGAGCAGGGGGCTCCCTTGGGGGCTATTTATTGCGTGTGTCCACTTTGGGGGGAGTAGCATTGAGCCAGGGTGGCAGCAGCAACTGGTCAGAGTCAGCCTGTGTTGGAGAGCTGAGGGTGGAGGGGAGAGAAGGAGGGGTGGGTGGGAATCAAAGGTGATTCCTAGGCTGGGGCCCTAGCAACCAGGTCAATACTGGTACCTTTTAGCCATGACTGGGAAAATTGGGCAATGAACAGATTTTATGGAAAAACAGAGAGTTGGGTTGATCATGAGATGCCTCTTAGACAATCCAACCTAGCTCACCATCCAAGCGGGCATGTTGAGTAGGCAGTGGGACCCATAAGCTCGGGAGAAAGATGAGGGCTGAGATCAAAGAGAACTGTAGCCCGCAGATCGTGTTTAAGGCCATGGGGTGGAGGAGATGACCTGCAGAAAGGTGGATAGAGGCAGAGGGTGGGGAGAGTTAGGCCAGGCCTGGGGACTGGCCAATGGAAAGGTCAGAAAAAGGAGGTAGCACCAGTAAAGGGGTCTGAGGGGGCAAGAATGTGATGTTTGAGGAGGTGGAGTGGAGTCCTGCCTCCTAAGGGGAGGTCCTCAGCTGTGCCAAAGGCTGCTCAGAGCTCCAGGAGGATAACCACAGAGACTGAGGGCAGTGATGTCAGCTTCAGCACGAGGGGGAAGC